ATTATGACTGTAGATAATAACAGTATGACTGTATATAATAACAGTGTTATGACTGTAGATAATAACAGTGTTATGACTGTAGATAATAACAGTGTTATGACTGTAGATAATAACAGTATTATGACTGTAGATAATAACAGTGTTATGACTGTATAACAATATTATGGCTGTAGATAAAACAGTATTACGACTGTAGATAATAACAGTATAATGACTGTAGATAATAACAGTGTTATGACTGTAGATAATAACAGTATAATGACTGTAGATAATAATAGTGTTATGACTGCAGATAATAACAGTATTATGACTGTAGATAATAACAGTATGACTGTAGATAATAACAGTTTTATGACTGTAGATAATAACATTATTTTGACTGTAGATAATAACAGTGTTATGACTGTATAACAGTATTATGGCTGTAGATAATAACAGTATTACGACTGTAGATAATAACAGTATAATGACTGTAGATAATAACAGTGTTATGACTCTAGATAATAACAGTATTATGACTGTAGATAATAACTGTATGACTGTAGATAATAACAGTGTTATGACTGTAGATAATAACAGTGGTTTGGCTGTATAACAGTATTATGATTGTAGATAATAACAGTATGACTGTAGAGAATAACAGTATGACTGTAGATAATAACAGTATGACTGTAGATAATAACAGTGTTATGACTGCAGATAATAACAGTATTATGACTGTAGATAATAACAGTATGACTGTAGATAATAACAGTGTTATGATTGTAGATAATAACAGTATTATGACTGTAGATAATAACATGTTATGACTGTATAACAGTATAATGACTGTAGATAATAACAGTGTTATGACTGTAGATAATAACAGTATAATGACTGTAGATAATAATAGTGTTATGACTGTAGATAATAACAGTATTATGACTGTAGATTATAACAGTGTTATGACTGTAGATAATGACAGTATTATGACTGTAGATAATAACAGTGTTATGACTGTATAACAGTATTATGACTGTAGATAATAACAGTGCTATGACTGTAGATAATAACAGTGTTATGACTGTAGATAATAACAGTGTTATGACTGTAGATAATAACAGTATTATGACTGTAGATAATAACAGTGTTATGACTGTAGATAATAACAGTGTTATGACTGTATAACAGTATTATGGCTGTAGATAATAACAGTATTACGACTGTAGATAATAACAGTATTATGACTGTAGATAATAACAGTGTTATGACTGTAGATAATAACAGTGTTATGACTGTATAACAGTATTATGACTGTAGATAATTTCAGTATGACTGTAGATAATAACAGTATTATGACTGTAGATAATAACAGTATTATGACTGTAGATAATAACAGTAGTATGACTGTAGATAATAACAGTGTTTTGACTGTAGATAATAACAGAGTTATGACTGTAGATAATAACAGTGGTTTGGCTTTATAACAGTATTATGACTGTAGATAATAACAGTATTATTACTATAGATAATAACAGTGTTATGACTGTAGATAATTACAGTATTATGACTGTAGATGATAGCAGTATTATGACTGTAGATAATAACAGTGTTATGACTGTAGATAATAACAGTATTATGACTGTAGATAATAACAGTATGGCTGTAGATAATAACAGTGTTATGACTGTAGATAATAACAGTATGACTGTAGATAATAACAGTGTTATGACTGTAGATAATAACAGTGTTATGACTGTAGATAATAACAGTATTACGACTGTAGATAATAACAGTGTTATGACTGTAGATAATAACAGTATTACGATTGTAGATAATAACAGTAGTATGACTGTAGATAATAACAGTAGTATGACTGTAGATAATAACAGTAGTATGACTGTAGATAATAACAGAGTTATGATTGTAGATAATAACAGTATTATGACTGTAGATAATAACAGTATTATGACTGTAGATAATAACAGTATGACTGTATATAATAACAGTGTTATGACTGTAGATAATAACAGTGTTATGACTGTAGATAATAACAGTGTTATGACTGTAGATAATAACAGTATTATGACTGTAGATAATAACAGTGTTATGACTGTATAACAATATTATGGCTGTAGATAAAACAGTATTACGACTGTAGATAATAACAGTATAATGACTGTAGATAATAACAGTGTTATGACTGTAGATAATAACAGTATAATGACTGTAGATAATAATAGTGTTATGACTGCAGATAATAACAGTATTATGACTGTAGATAATAACAGTATGACTGTAGATAATAACAGTTTTATGACTGTAGATAATAACATTATTTTGACTGTAGATAATAACAGTGTTATGACTGTATAACAGTATTATGGCTGTAGATAATAACAGTATTACGACTGTAGATAATAACAGTATAATGACTGTAGATAATAACAGTGTTATGACTCTAGATAATAACAGTATTATGACTGTAGATAATAACTGTATGACTGTAGATAATAACAGTGTTATGACTGTAGATAATAACAGTGGTTTGGCTGTATAACAGTATTATGATTGTAGATAATAACAGTATGGCTGTAGATAATAACAGTGTTATGACTGTAGATAATAACAGTATGACTGTAGATAATAACAGTGTTATGACTGTAGATAATAACAGTGTTATGACTGTAGATAATAACAGTATTACGACTGTAGATAATAACAGTGTTATGACTGTAGATAATAACAGTATTACGATTGTAGATAATAACAGTAGTATGACTGTAGATAATAACAGTAGTATGACTGTAGATAATAACAGTAGTATGACTGTAGATAATAACAGAGTTATGATTGTAGATAATAACAGTATTATGACTGTAGATAATAACAGTATTATGACTGTAGATAATAACAGTATTATGACTGTAGATAATAACAGTATGACTGTATATAATAACAGTGTTATGACTGTAGATAATAACAGTGTTATGACTGTAGATAATAACAGTGTTATGACTGTAGATAATAACAGTATTATGACTGTAGATAATAACAGTGTTATGACTGTATAACAATATTATGGCTGTAGATAAAACAGTATTACGACTGTAGATAATAACAGTATAATGACTGTAGATAATAACAGTGTTATGACTGTAGATAATAACAGTATAATGACTGTAGATAATAATAGTGTTATGACTGCAGATAATAACAGTATTATGACTGTAGATAATAACAGTATGACTGTAGATAATAACAGTTTTATGACTGTAGATAATAACATTATTTTGACTGTAGATAATAACAGTGTTATGACTGTATAACAGTATTATGGCTGTAGATAATAACAGTATTACGACTGTAGATAATAACAGTATAATGACTGTAGATAATAACAGTGTTATGACTCTAGATAATAACAGTATTATGACTGTAGATAATAACTGTATGACTGTAGATAATAACAGTGTTATGACTGTAGATAATAACAGTGGTTTGGCTGTATAACAGTATTATGATTGTAGATAATAACAGTATGACTGTAGAGAATAACAGTATGACTGTAGATAATAACAGTATGACTGTAGATAATAACAGTGTTATGACTGCAGATAATAACAGTATTATGACTGTAGATAATAACAGTATGACTGTAGATAATAACAGTGTTATGACTGTAGATAATAACAGTATTATGACTGTAGATAATAACATGTTATGACTGTATAACAGTATTATGGCTGTAGATAATAACAGTATTACGACTGTAGATAATAACAGTATAATGACTGTAGATAATAACAGTGTTATGACTGTAGATAATAACAGTATAATGACTGTAGATAATAATAGTGTTATGACTGTAGATAATAACAGTATTATGACTGTAGATTATAACAGTGTTATGACTGTAGATAATAACAGTATTATGACTGTAGATAATAACAGTGTTATGACTGTATAACAGTATTATGACTGTAGATAATAACAGTGCTATGACTGTAGATAATAACAGTGTTATGACTGTATAACAGTATTATGACTGTAGATAATAACAGTGTTATGACTGTAGATAATAACAGTATTATGACTGTAGATAATAACAGTGTTATGACTGTAGATAATAACAGTGTTATGACTGTATAACAGTATTATGGCTGTAGATAATAACAGTATTACGACTGTAGATAATAACAGTATTATGACTGTAGATAATAACAGTGTTATGACTGTAGATAATAACAGTGTTATGACTGTATAACAGTATTATGACTGTAGATAATAACAGTGTTATGACTGTAGATAATAACAGTGTTATGACTGTAGATAATAACAGTGTTATGACTGTAGATAATAACAGTGTTATGACTGTAGATAATAACAGTGTTATGACTGTATAACAGTATTATGACTGTAGATAATAACAGTATTATGATTGTAGATAATAACAGTATTCTGACTGTAGATAATAAACAGTGGTTATGACTGTATAACAGTATTATGGCTGTAGATAATAACAGTGTTATGACTGTAGATAATAACAGTATAATGGCTGTAGATAATAACAATGTTATGACTGTAGATAATAACAGTGTTATGACTGTATAACAGTATTACCCATCCATCCATTTTCTACCCTTTAATCCATTTCTGGGTCAGGGGGGTGGCAGTCAGAGATGCCACCCAAGTCTCATAGCACCAGCCCCTCACTGACCCTCTGCAGGTGGTGAGTCCACAGGAGGACGGCTGCTCTCTGAGTGTGAGCATAGCCTTGATCTTTCAGTGGGGGCTTTGGGCAAAGTGGGGTTAAGTGTCTTGCCCAAGGACACAACGACAGCAGTCATCAGTGGGAGTCGGTGGAGAAGGTGCAGAGGTGGGAATTGAACCCACGACCTTCTGGGCTTAAGGCCAATGCTCTACCAACTGAGCTACTGTCGCCCTATTACAGCCCTACAGTATTACGACTGTAGATAATAACAGTATAATGAAAGATAATAACAGTGTTTTGGCGGTAGGGCTGGCGTACTGCAGACACCTGTCCACAGTTCGAACACACCTCTCAGCTTTGATCAAACCCATCATCGTGGATCCAGAAGTTCCCATCAGCGCCAGAGGAGGTCTGTGTCCAGACGTCTGGAGCCAAGTTCTACAGAACAGTGCGGTGAGAGCCACGGACTGAGACTAGAGCTGATTCCCTCCTCCCCTTTCTCTCTCTCCTTTCTCCCTTCCCCTCTCTCCTTCCCTCTCCTCTCTCCCCTCTCTCTCCTCCCCTCTCTCCTCTCTCTTTCTTCCCCTCTCTCTCTCCGATCCTCCCCTCTCTCCTCTTTCTTGTTCAGGATGAAAGAGGCGTTGCTAACATGTGTCCTGATGTGTGTTCAGGCGTTTGAAGAGTCAGAGATCTATCGTCTGGTTTTCTTCGGGGGAGTGAGTCCTTCTCTGCGGAAACAAGTCTGGCCCTTTCTCCTGGGACACTATCACTTTGCTATGACAGAGTCCAACAGGACTGAGGTGTGTGTGTCTGTGTGTGAGTGAGTGAGTGTGTGTGTGGTGTATGTGTCTGTGTGTCTATGTCCACACATGTGTATCTCAGTGTGTGGGTGTGTGTGACTATTGTCTGTTGGGTCAATGTCATTAATAATCTGTGTTGCATCTTTGTATCAAAATCACTTTATGATCAAAGTCTAATTCATTATTATTATTATCATGATAAGGTTTCTCTCCTGCTCACTCTCTCGCTCTCTTCTGCCTCAGATGGACAGTCAGATGCAGGTGATGTATCAGCAGAACATGAGGGAGTGGAGAGGCTGCGAGGCCATCGTCCGACAGCGAGAGAGAGAGAAACACGCTGAGGCTTTAGCTCGATGTTTATCTGGAATCGAGAGGAGCCCAGTGCAGAGAGACTCCACCCTCAGCACTGATGTAGGCTACACAGACTCCACCCTCTCTCTCTGGTCTCTCTCTCCCTCTCTCTCTCTCTGTCTCTGGTCTCTCTCTGGTCTTTCTCTGGTCTCTCTTTGGTCCCTCTCTGATCTTTCTCTAGTCTTTCTCTGGTCTCTCTCTGGTCTTTTTCTGGTCTTTCTCTGGTCTCTCTCTGATCTTTCTCTAGTCTTTCTCTGGTCTCTCTCTGGTCTTTTTCTGGTCTTTCTCTGGTCTTTCTCTGGAATCTCTCAGTTCTCTCTCTCTCTCTCTCTCTGGTGTCTCACTCTGGTCCCTCTCTCTCTGGTCTCTCTCTCTGGTCTCTCTCTCGCTCTGGTCTCTCTCTCTGGTCTCTCTCTCTGCTCTCGGTAAATCTCTCTGTGGTCTCTCTCTGGTCTCTCTCTCTTTGGTCTCTCTCTCTTTACTGTGTCACAACACTCTGAATATGGCATGTATCTGAGCCAACCCTCTGTTCTGATGACAGCTCTTTTCACATAAACACGTCCTGTGTGTCTCTGCTGTTCACATACACATAAACAGCTCATAGTGCTGTGTCGTCATGAGAGACCTGACCACAGTAAACGCACACAGCCCACATGGTACCGAGTGGTTCATGGTCCTGCAGTTTTTACCCTGTCCTTTCTTCTCTCTTCTGCAGTCGTCTCTGAGCTGCTGCACAGATCCACAGAACACACAGTCTCTGAGCGACTCCAGCAGCTGCAGCGCTCAAGTACGTCTGACTTCCATCCATCCATCCATTTTCTACCCTTTAATCCATTTCTGGGTCAGGGGGGTGGCAATCAGAGATGCCACCCAAGTCTCATAGCACCAGCCCCTCACTGACCCTCTGCAGGTGGTGAGTCCACAGGAGGACGGCTGCTCTCTGAGTGTGAGCATAGCCTTGATCTTTCAGTGGGGGCTTTGGGCAAAGTGGGGTTAAGTGTCTTGCCCAAGGACACAACGACAGCAGTCATCAGTGGGAGTCGGTGGAGAAGGTGCAGAGGTGGGAATTGAACCCACGACCTTCTGGCCTTAAGGCCAATGCTCTACCAACTGAGCTACTGTCGCCCTGACTTCACTCTACTTATTTAAACACAGAGAGATTATGAACATCTGGTCGATCTCTATGGTCTCTCTCTCTGTGTCTGGTGTCTGTGGCTGATCTCTCTCATATCGTCTTTCTCTGGCCTCTCTCTGGTCTCTCTCCTGCTGGTCTCTTTGGGCGGCACGGTGGTTCGCATCCCGGTTGGAGCAGGAGCTTTCTGAGTGGAGTTTGCATGTTCTCTCCGTGTCTGCATAGGTTTCCTCCGGGTGCTCCGGTTTCCCCTACCACTAAAAACATGTACTATAGGTCTGGCATGCGCCTATTGTACTGGCCTCGCTCCCATTTGTGTGGAGTAAGAGACTAATTCCCAAAAATAACAATTGTAAAGTGCTTTGTGACTCTGGTCTGAGAAAGGCTCTATATAAATAAAGATTACTTGCTTACTTACTGCTCTCGCTCAATCTTTTTGGTCTCTCTCCCTGGTCTCTCTCTGGTCTGTCTCTCTCGTCTTTCTCTGGTCTGTCTTTCTAGTCAAATCTGCTAACATGCATTAAAGAGGCCATAGTCTGCACACACAAACACACACAGACACACACACACACACACACATACACGTTTTTGTTACCTGGTGGGTCCCTTTGACAGGGCCGTTCAGAATGGGACCCATAGACATAATCTTTTTTTACCAAGACTTTAAGTAATACAAAACAGTCAATAGAAACCAAACAACTATTTTAAAGGAATTTTATTTTAGATTTTGTTTTCGAATTGCAGTGATTCTATTTTTGACATAGAATTTAATGCCACTCCATGTCCGATGTCTAAGGTCATCTGGTGAGGCATTAATGCAGGCCAGGCAGTGAGACTTCCCAGGGACCTTTCCAGTCTGTATGAAAGGTGTCATGGTCTTCTCCACAGCCTTCACCTCAGATGCAGACCATGGCTTTCTTACACGTTCTAGGGAGAGAAATAAAAATATATTAGCAATATACACTCCCAGGGTGAGGACCAAGCAGCCTGGCTGTAATCCCCCACCTGGTACACTTACCAGAAGGGGCACTGCCACTACCATGGGGTGCATCTGGATGAATGGTTGAAGGTTCTCCGCTTGAAGTTTCTTTTAGCCCGTCCGTTTGTGAGAGGATCTCTACTGCTCTCCCTGTCGCACAGAAAATAAAAATACAAGTGGCCTTTAGGGGAAAAAAATCATACATATTTTAATAATATCAAGAATTACCTTCAGGCTCAATTTGTATCTGGTCGAGGCTCTTTCCTTCGAATTCCGTCACTCTTCCCTGCTCCATGGCCATCAACACTTTGCTGATTTTGGCCAGCTCCAGTGTCCCCTCTGGTAGTCTGTAATATTGCCTGTGGATGCGAATGTCATGGCCGAGGAAGTTGGCAAGTATGTCCATCTCATTCTCTTTCATATTGAGAACTGTAGACATAGTAGCTATGTGCTTTCTAAGTTTGGTTGAGGATAGCATCTCTGGATGCACCGCACCACATTCTTTGGCTACCTGGCGTAGGGAGTCTGATCCCCTGATGTGGGTGTCTGCGCCCGGGCGGGAAAAGAAGTATGGGTTATGGTCAGAGATGGAACAGGCCCTTCTGTTCTCCACCAGCACCTCCATCGAAGCAATCATTTCAGGAGTCAAAAGAACCGGCACTTTCCGACTTCTTTTCCCTTTAATTTCAATGCGTTGAAAATGCTGACACAGCTTTTTCTCAAGTTGGGACAGTCCCAGAGCAATGTCAGAATGGATCCCAGTCTTACTTCTTAAGGTAAAGGCTGTCAGTGGCATCTTTGAAACCTCACCTTCCCTTCTTCGATTGAAAATGATGACCTCACAAAGAGTCAAAACTGCCAGTTTAGACCAATGCTTAGACGTTGGCTCACTTATTAGGGTTTGCACATATTCAGGTCGACATACCTCAATATGTGCATGCATGGCTCTAACGTCCTCAGTCAGAGGGAGCAGGTCCGGAGTGTTCCACTTGGCTTGCCGGAGGGTCTGTAGGGCAGCAGAAGAAACACAGACGTCCCACCTCTTCTCAAAAAGCAGCCGGCTTCGTTGGAGGTTTTTAATAAATAGTTCATCAACACAATGCTCCATTTTTGAGTCACATTCAAGAATATCTGCTAGCTTTCTGAGGCTATGGCCGAGTTTGAGGGCCAAGGATGGAGTCTTGTATTGATTTGTTTCCTCATCATATCCAGCCACAGACCTGACTGCATCAATCACATGGTTAAAGTTGGAAGGAATAAAGAAATCCTTAATTGTTTTCAGTTTCCCTGCGGTTTTTGCTTCGTTAATTAACCTACCGACTTCTCTCATTTTCTGCCTAATGTAATCATGCTTTGTCTTATCATGCCCGTGTTTTAAGTACAGGTGCTCTCCGAGTCTCAGAATCCCCTTTTCTGCTTTGACAACACCCGTGACCTCATCCTGATGCATTGCCGAAATTAAAGACCACAGCTTTTTGCTGATGCCCTCCGGTACAGGCTGGGCTAGGGAGCAGAGGGACTGGACCCTACTTCTACCTGGTTTAGCCTGGGCATCTTTCTGTGAAAGCCGGCACCTGGCCACATGCCTCCACAGCGACTTTCGCTTAAGCAATGCCCCACAGTCTATACAGTGCAAAAACTCACTGGATTTAACTGGGCAATTTGGCTGTTTAGCTGGGACTAAAGTTCCAATGCCGGCCTTTAAAACCTCAAAATTGTGCTCACGGTTTCCACTATTCCTGATCAAATCAAACTGAAGTTTACGTGCTTTAGATTTCACAGGTAGAGCCAATGCTCTGGCTACGTCACTTTCATTTCCATGTTTTCTAGTCAAATGACGGGACATTTTGTGGCAGGACATTGAACAGTAGAGGCAGAAGTGTCTCTTGCTATAAACTCGCCCCCCATTTTTCTTCTTTTGCAGCTGCATGATAACAATCTTATTTGCCTTTGGTTCGTCACTTTCCGAGTCTTGAAGAAAAGTGTTTTTGATTTTTCTTTTTCCATACTTTTTTACAGGTTTCTTCTTGACAGTTAAATCGTCAGAATCTGAGTCGACTTCATCAATTAGGGACTCTTGACTAAGCTGCACAAACAACAAATAATTTGTAATCATTCTATATAACAATTTGAAGTCATGACTTGTAGTCAGCACTTACCAGTGGTTTGTAAGCGTGCGCTTCAGTGTGCTCCTCCATGATTTCTTGCAGCCTAATGAACCACACACTTGCACCTTTTTCTAGCCTGACACCTGATTTCCTCTGTTGTGCTGCTCCATGATTGGCTCCAGCCTGCTGGACTGAAATTGCCCCAGTGTGCCCCTCCTTGATATCCCGCAACCCACCACCAGGGTTCCGACACATAACACACTTTTTTCAGGAAAGTAAACCTCCAGGGGTCCTTTCCATATTTTTACAGAGACTGCATAAGGACCGTTAGAAAAGCATTACCCATTGATTATTAAGCTTGGACCAGTGGGGTCCGGTGTTCGGGCCCCACCACGTAAAACCAGTCCCCATGACGTGAGTGGAATCTCAGGTTATGGAACCCACCAGGAGTTGAAAACAAGTGCACACACACAAACACACACACACACACACACACACACACACATCAAAATCCATCTAATCCACACCATGACAGTGCATCTCATTCACAGATTCAAAGTAATCAATCCAAAGCACAGCAGCGATTCTGAGTCTGTTGTCTTTCAGGTTTTCGAGTCTATAGAGACCGAGCCACCAGCCACAGGCGAGCCTCAAGACTCCAGCTCCTCTACCTCAGTTAAAGACCAAAGTCTGTCAGACTCTGGTCCAGTGAAAGAGCTCCTCCTGCCAGCTCCACACAACACTTCAACTGAGACCGAGCCGACAATCCCAGCCATGGAGAAAGTCCCACCTGAACCCTGTCCCTCTGGAGAACTGGGCCCTGAGGCTCAGGCTTCACCAGCAGAGAAGGAGGCAGAGAAGGCAGAGGAAGGAGAGAAGAAAGAGAAGGCAGAGCTAACAGAGAAGGTAGAAGAGGCAGAGGGAGCAGAGGAAGCAGAGAAGGTAAAGGAGCCAGAGAAGGCAGAGGAGGTAAAGGAGGCAGAGAAGGCAGAGAAGGCAGAGAAGGCAGAGGAGGTAAAGGAGGCAGAGAAGGCAGAGAAGGCAGAGGAGGTAAAGGAGGCAGAGAAGGCAGAGAAGGCAGAGATGGTAGAGATGGGAGAGATTGTGGAGAAGGGAGAGAAGGCAGAGGGAGCAGAGGAAGCAGAGGAAGCAGAGAAGGCAGAGAAGGTAGATAATGCGAAGAAGGCAGAGGAGGCAAAGCAAGTGGAGAAAGCTGAGGAAGCAGAGAAGACAGAGGAAGTAGAGTCAAACCAAAGCACAAATCCTGACGCTGCAGATGCAGGTGTGGGGGATTCGAGTGGCACCAAAGAACTCTCTGAGGACATCGAGAGCGCGGTAGAAGAGGAACCAACAAAAGCCGTGGACACAAATACGAATATTAGGCCGACCGCCGAGACATTTAACGTCCTGAAGCTCGAAAAAGAAGTTCACAATGAATACTTCCAAGCGCCACCTCTGGGTCAGACGTTAGCATTACAGCCTCCAAAGACACACACACTCACTGCAGTGGCCTCGCCTGATAGAGACCTCAGAATGTCTCCCATCGAGAAGAGGACTCCAGAGTCTGAAGCGGTGAAAGAGAAAGCCAGCGATAAACTCTCAAACTCGCCAGTTCGACAAGTCCTCCACGCTCTGCAGTCTGCGTCCCGGGGCAGTCTGTCTCTGTCCCGGCAGTCTCCGGACACGGGGGACTCGGACGACTCTCCCTCAGCCCTGGAGATGGAGGACATGGCCGGGATCACCTGTGTGACGTCAGATGAGACCAGGACGATAACAGTTCTAGCCCCTCCCCCGTTCAGACTGGCTCACAGAGAGAGAGCTGCCTCGGACCAAACGGAGGGACCCAGCCTGGACTCCACCAGGAAGAACCCCAGTCCCGAGGGCACAGATCCAGGTCTGTCCGAGGAGGAGCTGGAGATGGAGAACCTGGGTTTGTCCGAGGAGGAGCTGGAGATGGAGAACCTGCTGTCGGAGGTGAAGCCTGGAGAGGGAGACGACAAGAGCAAGCAGCTCCCGGAGGAACAAGCTTACTCGGTAAATATCACCTCTACAGCCCTGTTCCCTGGATCAGAACTCACATACCATCACTGTACCCTACTCTAGTGTACTCTACTCTACTCTACTGTACCCTCTTCTCTACTCTACTCTACTGTACCCCACTCTACTCTACTCTACACTGCTCTACCTGGTTGTGTCCCAGGATCCAGGGAACTTGCTCTCTGTCAGTTAGAACTTTAGTACCAGCTCGACCTGGATAGAACCAGGACCAAGAGGGACTAAAGAAGGACCTGGTACTGGTTACACAGGACCAGAGGAAACACTCTCAATCAGGGGAGAGTAGAGTAGAGTAGAGTAGAGTAGATTTGTCATTTGGATAACATTTTTAGCACTTAATAAACCTCTGATTGGTTCTCAAACTTTCACTGAGGGCCTTGAAATAAACCAGGTTTAAATCAGTGATAGAGAGTTAGAACAGATCAATCAAGAATGTTTATTTGTGTATGTGCTCTGTCTTCTCCATGAGACCTCCTCCTGAGCCCTGTGTTTGTCCTGGTCTCCTCCTGATCCCTGTGTTTGTCCTGGTCTCCTCCTGATCCCTGTGATTGTCCTGGTCTCCTCCTGGTCCCTGTGATTGTCCTGGTCTCCTCCTGGTCCCTGTTATTGTCCTGGTCTCCTCCTGGTCCCTGTGATTGTCCTGGTCTCCTCCTGATCCCTTTGATTGTCCTGGTCTCCTCCTGGTCCCTGTTATTGTCCTGGTCTCCTGCTGGTCCCTGTGATTGTCCTGGTCTCCTCCTGGTCCCTGTGATTGTCCTGGTCTCCTCCTGGTCCCTGTGATTGTCCTGGTCTCCTCCTCATCCTTGTAATTGTCCTGGTGTCCTCCTGGTCTCGCTTTGGTCTTATCCTGGTCTCGTCCTGGTCCCTGTGATTGTCCTGGTCTCGTCATGGTCTCCTCCTGGTCTCGTCCTGGTCTCCTCATGGTCCCCTCCTGGTTTCGTCCTGGTCCCCTCATGGTCTCCTTCTGGTCTCTTCCTGATCTCATCCCGGTCTCGTCCTGGTCTCGTCCTGGTCTCGTCCCGATCCTTGTGATTGTCCTGGTCTCTTCCTGGTCTCGTCCTGTTCTCCTCATGGTCCCCTCCTGGTCTCCTCATGGTCTCCTCCTGGTCTCTTCCTGGTCTCCTCCTGGTCTCTTCCTGGTCTCGTCCTGGTCTCATCCTGATCTTTGTGATTGTCCTGGTCTACTCCTGGTCTTGTCCTGGTCTCCTCACGGTCTCCTCCTGGTCTCGTCCTGGTCTCCTCACGGTCTCCCCCTGGTCCTGGCGTTTGCAGCAGGAGCAGTTGGACATGTATCTCTTAAACCTGCATCGAATCGACAAAGACGTGAGACGCTGCGACAGAACGTACTGGTATTTCAGCCAAGACAACCTGGAAAAGCTACGCAACATCATGTGCAGGTGTGTGTGTGTGTGTCTGTCTCTGTGTGTGTGTATCTGTCTCTGTGTGTGTATATGTGTGTATGTGTCTGTCTCTGTGTGTGAGTATGTGTCTGTCTCTGTGTGTGTATCTGTGTGTATATCTATGTGTGTGTCTGTATGTCTGTGTGTGTTTGTGTGTCTGTGTGTGTGCTTGTGTCTGTCTGTGTGTTTGTGTGTGTGTGCATATCTGTGTGTTTATGTCTGTCTGTGTCTATATCTTTGTGTGTGTATCTGTGTGTCAGTGTGTATATCTCTGTGGGTGGGTGTGTGTGTGTATATATGTGTGTTTGTGCGTGTGTATCTGTGTCTGTGCGTGTTTGTGTGTCTAAATCTCTGTTGTTGTTGCAGTTACGTCTGGCTGCACCTGGACATCGGTTACGTCCAGGGCATGTGCGACCTGCTGGCTCCTCTTCTGGTCATTCTGGACGATGGTCAGTGTGGTTACTATATGTCCATACCAGAGAGAGAGACCAGAGAGAGAGACCAGAGAGAGTCCAGAGAGCGACAAGAGAGAGACCAGAGAGACACCAGAGAGAGACCAGAGAGAGACCAGAGAGAGACAAGAGAGAGACCAGAGAGACACCAGAGAGAGACCAGAGAGAGACCAGAGAGAGACCAGAGAGACACCAGAGAGAGACCAGAGAGAGACCAGAGAGAGACAAGAGAGAGACAAGAGAAACACTAGAGTGGGACCCGAGAGAGAGACCAGAAAGAGACCAGAGAGAGACCAGAGAGAGAGATCAGAAAGAGACCAGAGAAAGACCAGAGAAAGACCAGAGTGAGACCAGAGTGAGACCAGAGTGAGACCAGAGTGAGACCAGAGTGAGACCAGAGTGAGACTAGAGAGAGACTAGATAGAGAGACTTGGGAGAGACCAGAGAGAGAGCCAAGAGAGATCAGAGAGAGACCAGCGATAGCCCAGCATGCAGAATAACAGCTTTGTCAGATATACGGGAGCTAAACCATTGAAACATTTAAAAACAGAAAGTCGGCCCTGAAGTGGGCGGAGCCAGTGAAGTGACGCCAGCTCAGGGGTGATGTGCTCTCTGTGTGTTGCTCCTGCAGAGGTCATGGCGTTTAGCTGCTTCACTGAGCTGATGAAGAGGATGAACCAGAACTTCCCTCATGGTGGCGCTATGGACACTCACTTTGCCAACATGCGCTCTCTCATTCAGGTAACGTACAGCTGTGGTCTCTCACCTGTTCTCACCTGTGTCTCTCCTCGATTATAGGTTTTACTGTCAAATACAAGGAAGAAAATACAGGAAAATGATGTAAGAAAAATGTAGGAAACCGTTTGTGGGAAGCCATGTTGTTGTATAGAAAGTGTCCTGGATTTAGGAGCTTGCGTGTCAATTCTGCTAATTTAAGCGCAAAAGGGTTCCTGGTTTTTGTGTAACTTTAACTCAGTGTGTTGTCACCACAGTGGTTAGCTTGAACATAAGCTAGCTGGAGCCAATGTCCTTATATGGGCATTTGTTCTACGATGTTAGCTTTGTGCTAACACGCTGTGCGGCGTGATTTTTTAGTTTTACTGAAACAGTGTACAATAAACGTTAGCAAAGAAGAGATTTGTTCTGATGGCGTTAGCTTAGTGCTGTAACAGAGAAAGATGTGTTGCTAAGACGGTTGCCAAGGAAAACTGCAGTTTCCCCCGCGAATGAAGGCACCTGATTGGTCGGTCCTTATGTATGGTTATCTGGATTTACAAAGACAATATCACAAAATAAACGCCACGATCAGAGAAAGCAATAGACCACAGATTTTCAGCCAAAAAATTTGAATTTGACACAAAATGTTTCAGAGCTAGAGGAGTTTACATTTACATTGAATTACAAGTGAATAAATCCCTAGCTAGCGGGTTAGCATTGTCCATCTTTATAGACTGAACCAAAAGTACGAAAGGCTTGTTGTTGTAGACCGATGGACCAGTTATTATTATCATTGTTGTTATTATGTTCTTGGTTCAATGTTTACAATTGTATAGATTCTATGGCTGTTTTCTGAATAGAATTAGCTTAAAAATGAGGTTTAACATTCCATAGTAAAATGGAAGGAGATGTTACATTTGGCCTCTATAAGTTCACTCAGAGGTATCGTAAGTACAACTAGCCCACATAAACCTGTTACTCTGTTGTTTTTGGAGTCATTTCAAGTTTCTCTGTAATACCCCTGCGTACCTCTAGGGGTCCGTGTGCCCCTGGCTGGGAAACACAATGTGACTAAATGTGTTGTAGATCCTGGACTCGGAGCTGTTTGAACTGATGCAACAGAACGGAGACTACACACACTTCTACTTCTGCTATCGCTGGTTCTTGCTCGACTTCAAAAGAGGTAAATATTAAACCGGTCGTTTATTTATGTAGCGCTTTAAATACTTGACATATTGAGAAACTGAGAAACTGGAACATTGAGGCAAAAACTACCGCTAGCCAGATTCAGCTGCATGGGGAGAACATGCAAACTATACAGAGAAAGAAAGGCCTGGAAGTGGAATTTAACCCAGGACTCAGGCTGTAGCTCAAGGACTCAGGCTGTAGACCCAGGACTGAGGTTGTAGATTTAGGACTGAGGCTGTAGATCCAGGACTGAGGCTGTAGATCCAGGATTGAGGCTGTAGACCCAGGACCATGTGTATCCATGTCTAATCGTCTGTGTTGAACAGAGATGGTGTACGATGACGTGTTCTCCGTGTGGGAAACCATCTGGGCCGCCATGCACACTTGCTCCGAACACTTCGTCCTCTTCATCGCTCTGGCGCTGGTGGAGACGTATCGCGACATCATCCTGGAAAACAACATGGACTTCACCGACATCATCAAGTTCTTCAATGGTAGGACAGTACAGCACATCCTACAAAAAACAAAACACATACAGTACAGCACATCCTACAAAAAAAACATACTGTACAACACATCCTACAAAAAACAGACACATACAGTACAACACATCCTGCAAAGAAAAACAGACACATACAACACTCACTGGACCATAAGCCTCTGTTATCCATCTCTAACTCTGCAGCTGATGCAGAGATGGGGCCTATTTATGTGTTTGTATTGTGTTGGAGCACAAGATACTTCCTGTATTGTGTTGGGGAGAGGAAGTATCTTGACACAGCCAACCATTCTACTTCAGTGTGTTTATGTGAACAGCAGCAGACGAGGAAGTGCAAGGAAATACCTGTGTGTAATGCTAATATAGCAAACCTGCAAGCTCTATTATAACTAATGGGGAAGTGCTCATGGACAAAGTTTAGCTCCAACAACTGTTTGTAGTAGTAGTAATCTTTATTTATATAGCGCCTTTCACAGAGCAGAGTCACAAAGCGGTTTACAATTGTGGGCATTAGTCTCTCACTCCACACAGAGACGGGAGCGGGGCCAGTACAGGAGGCGCATGTTTTAGTGGTAGGGGAAACCGGAGCACCCGGAGGAAACCGGAGTACCCAGAGGAAACCTACGCAGACACGGGGAGAACATGCAAACTCCACTCAGAAAGGCCCTGTTCCGACCGGGATTCGAACCCGGGACGTTCTTGCTGAGAAGCGAGAGTGCTAACCACTCATACTCACCATTTTGGGCTTAGGGAGAGGCCAGAGAGAGAACAGACCATAGAAAGGCAATAGAGACCCCAGAGAGACCATAGAGACCCCAGAGAGATCAGAGAGAGACCAGAGAGATCAGAGAGAGACCAGGTGTTTATATAGTGATATTGTCTTTGTAAATCCAGATGTGAACCATATAAGGACTGACCAATCAGGGGCCTTCTTTCACAAGGATACTCCAGTTGGCCTTAGCAACTGTCTTAGCAACACGTCTGCCGCTGTAACTCCGTCAGAACAAAAGCCCATATAAGGAAACTGGCTCCAGCTTAAGTTCAAACCGCCCTCTCACAGGTGATGTCACACTATGGGGATGTCACACTGTGGTGATGTCACACTGTGGTGATCTCATACTCCTCATACACGCTCTATGGGAGATAGATGATGAGTTCTGTATTTTACTGTAAGATGTTTCCAGATGTTTTGTTTTATAAAATTGATCAACTTTTTATACTTTTTTTGCAGAAATGGCGGAGCGGCACGACGTCCCCAAAGTGCTGAACATGGCCCGTGACCTGGTCCTCAAAGTGCAAACCCTCCTCGAAAACAAGTGACGGATCCCGAGACCAATCACATGACCAATCACATGACAAATCACAAGACCAATCACACGACCAATCACATGACCAATCACATGACAAATCACAAGACCAATCACATGACCAATCACATGACCAATCACATGACAAATCACAAGACCAATCACATGACCAATCACATGACCAATCACACGACCAGTCACATGACCAATCACATGACCAATCACAAGACAATCACATGACCAATCACATGACCAATCACATGACCAATCACACGACCAATCACATGACCAATCACACGACCAATCACATGACCAATCACATGACCAATCACAAGACAATCACATGACCAATCACATGACCAATCACATGACCAATCACACGACCAATCACATGACCAATTACACGACCAGTCACACGACCAGTCACGCAACCAATCACATGAGCAGTAGTGGTGGGAATTGTAAGAATTTGAGGTTTCGATAGTATTGCGATATTTGGGCTACAATTCAATATTATTGTGATTCTTAACATATTGCGACAACAAGCAGACATCATAGAGTCACCATCATAGAGTCACAACAAGCAGACATCATAGAGTCACCATCATAGAGTCACAACAAGCAGACATCATAGAGTCACAACAAGCAGACATCATAGAGTCACAACAAGCAGACATCATAGAGTCACAACAAGCAGACATCATAGAGTCACAACAAGCAGACATCATAGAGTCACAACAAGCAGACGTCATAGAGTCACAACAGGCAGACATCATAGAGTCACAACAAGCAGACATCATAGAGTCACAAAAAGCAGACATCATAGAGTCACAACAAGCAGCCATCGTAGAGTCACAACAAGCAGACATCATAGAGTCACAACAGACATCATAGAATCACAATAAGCAGACGTCATAAGTCGCGTTCATATTCCAGGGCCAGCCCCGTCGGTGCGTGTCTCCACTGCAGGAACTTATACGGGGCCCAACGCAGTCCCTCCTCCATGCTAGGTACCTCCTCCATGCTGGGTACCTCCTCCATGCTGGGTACCTCCTTCATGCTAGGTACCTCCTCCATGCTATGTACCTCCTCCATGCTATGTACCTCCTCCATGCTGGGTACCTCCTCCATGCTAGTACCTCCTCCATGCTGGGTACCTCCTCCATGCTGGGTACCTCCTCCATGCTAGTACCTCCTCCATGCTGGGTACCTCCTCCATGCTGGGTACCTCCTCCATACTAGTACCTCCTCCATGCTGGGTACCTCCTCCATGCTGGGTACCTCCTCCATGCTGGGTACCTCCTCCATGCTAGTACCTCCTCCATGCTGGGTACCTCCCAGAGGTGGGACAAAGTCATTGTTTAGCAAGTCACAAGTCAGTCTCAATTCATTGCCCTCAAGTCCCGAGTCAAGTCACGAGTCAAGACAGGCAAGTCCCGAGTCGAGTCCAAGTCAAAGGCCAACAAATCTCAAGTCAGTCCCAAGTCCTACGGTTTGACTTTCGAGTCCTCTCGAGTCTTTTTGACCGCGATTTGTTTCTTGTTGGTCTCCACGTACTTTTGTAGGCAAACAAAATAATGTTAGGAATCATTTTGCTGGTGCATTCTCGTTGGTCTCTGACCCATGGACTAACAGTTTGTTCCATGTCGTTGGCTGCTGGTAAATCAAAACTATCTACGTGATCTAATTGGATGTTGTGCCAGATGCAGGCTCAGTTACACATGCACAGACCACACATAAAATCAGAGCAGTCCGTGTCACACATACTTTTTATCTTTGGGGTTTTTAATGGGAAGTAGCAAGTGCAGCAGTGCAGCATATATGAATATGAGTATTGGGCTAGGACCTGTATCTATATAATCAGTTTAATGTCCATAGTGGTTATTGTTCCAAAGGACTGAAGGGACCAATGGAGGGGAAGGACCCTGGCCTGTATGAACTGGACCAGCATTAGTAATATCTCATAATTACCAATATATCATTACATAATAAAATGTCTCATATAAATTAATTCAATCAGTCAAAGCACTGATTCTCATATCAATGCACCATAAACAATAGTGCAAATATTAATCTAGCTTAGTGCACATAATCAAAACAACTATCTAATGTATGCAAACTTTAGCAGGAGGAGCACAGCAAAAACATACTCATAATAATAGGCCTCGGCGCCCACACAGAAAAATATAAGAAATAGCTAACAGAGAAGCGCAGGCTAGCGCTAGTTTGACTCACCAGTTCCTCTTTAAAACACGGCACACAGTGTGACAACTGCGTCGATTCAATTGTATGAGGCGCCTGTAGTGAAAGCATATCAATTACGGTTTGTAGAACAAAATATGACGTTAGGTCGCGATAAATACCTGCAGCTCGCTCATTTCCAGCTCCCCTAGACAACACACCCACCGGTGAATGCAGTCCGCTTGTTTAGGGAAGTGTTGCTGCGCGAACTGCGGGGAACTCACGTTCGAACTCTCTCGCGAGCGCTACAACTACCGCGAGGCTTTGTTTCTTCAGAGACGGCATAGATAGAAAGAGAGATGCGGAGAAAGGTAAAAATGGCCCGGGTTACGCAAGTCTTTGCAAGTCAATTGGCGCAAGTCCAAGTGAAAGTCAGAGTCATTGATGTTAAAGTCCAAGTCGAGTTGCAAGTCTTTTTACATTTGGTCAAGTCGAGTCTAAAGTCATCAAAATCATGACTCGAGTCTGACTCGAGTCCAAGTGACATGACTCGAGTCCACACCTCTGGTACCTCCTCCATACTGGGTACTTCGTTGGGCCCTGAACAGCTTCTGGGGCTTGAGGTTAACCTGGCGCCGATTGGCTAAAGCTAGCGGAAGCTCTGACGTCAGCAGAAATCACCAAAACAGGCCTTTTCAAAGTCCAGCAGCCTTAGCCTTGTAGCATTAGCCTAGCAGCCTTAGCTTAGCAGACACCACTGGAAACAGCCAACAACAGCAAGATGTACTATAAATGGACGGATGATGAAGTGCAGGCAAAAGTTAAAACAAAAATCATGCTTAAAGATGCTATACCAGTTTTTTTTTTTTTAATGAGTTCATAAAAATGCTTTTTACTACATACAAATTGTATCATAATCCGTAATTTAATTGAAAACTTGAGCTCATTGATTCGGCTGTGAAGAGAAGAGGGAACTAAAGCCAAAAAATGATCAAAGAAGAAACCAAGCCCGGGTGAACATAGCTAGCTTACATCGTATCCTCTGGAAAGACTTGTCTGTGGGAGAGACCTGCGGGACCGCCTCGGACTATCTATGCTCGGACTATCTACGCTCTGACTATCTATGCTCGGACTACATTCGGATGCGGAACTAGCGGCAGTCTTTCAGTTATATATTTTGTTAGCAGTACGTTGCTTTTGTACCATTTCATCAGTGATTGTTGTACAGCTTACAAGAAGTTGCGCTCATGCTAATGTTAGCATACGTATCAGATCACAAATAAAACTAGATGGCTCCGTGGGATGAGATTGTAGGGGAAATGAGAAGCCTGTGAGCGAGTTGGGGGCGGGGCTAAACATTAAAACCTTGCAGAAACGGGTATAGCTCCTTTAAAATAAATAAGGATTGATTTTGCAGAGATCGAAACTCATGACAGTTGCCGAGGGTCCTACTCTGCAGTGGAGACCAGGAACATAAAGCTCAGATGGAATTACCTCAGAGAAAACACTAAAAACAAACAGATAAATAATACATCAAATATCGCAATACTTGTCTCTAATATATCAATTTCACTGCATGCTCAAAATATCGCGATACTGAACAGAACGCATTTTTCCCGAACACTAACGACCGATCCCACACTTCACTCAAAGCTCGTTGATTTCAGACTCTCCAGCGGCACTTTAATGTACTTTCAGAGAGTATAGTGTGTCGGTCCATGTGTGCGAGTGTTGGTACTGTAGTAGTGCTTGTAAATGTGTCCGATGTTGTGCGTTTTGACCAAGATTCAAAAAGATCCAAATCCAGGTTTAATTCAGTCTAAAGCAGGGGTCTCCAACCTATAGCTCGCGAGCTACCGGTAGCTCGCGGCCCCATTTTGGGTAGCTCGCGCAAGGTTATCCATTATTTTCCTAAATTTAGCATGAGAGAAAAAATAAAAAAAACATTCGCATTTTTCGTTGATTTGGCCTATCATATTATCATATCCGTTGGTGTGTCCCGCCTCATTTACATAAATAACATATTATTTGTCTGTAAGCTGTCAATCAAAGGATCGCGCGTTTCAGTCAAACTGATACCCAGCGTTTGTTTCGTGCACGGGCCTTGACAGCGTTGATGCGGCACCATGAGCTCTGCTAAGAGGAGGAAAACGTACGCTTTTCACGAGGAGTGGGAAACGGACTTTTTATTCACAAATGTCAACGATAAATGCGTTTGTCTGATCTGTGGGTTCAGTGTGGCTGTTGGTAAACGATGCAACGTTCAGCGCCATTTCGTCTCAGTCCACGGTAACTTTTCACACGAGTTTCCCACGGGGAGCAACCTACGAAAAGAAAAGGTGAAGGAGCTCAAATCAGCGCTTCAGAGACAGCAATCTTTATTCACCAAGACAACAAAAAAGAGTTGTGCGGCCACGGAGGCGTCATTCAAAGTGGCACACTTACTAGCAAAACACAAAAAGCCCTTTACGGATGGAGCCATTGTGAAGGATGCTATGACTGCGGTGGCTGAAACTTTATTTGATGATCACAAAAGTAAGACAGAGATTCTTTCCGCTATTTCTGATGTGCAACTTGGGGCAAATACAGTGGCCCGGAGAGTTACTGCGCTGTCACAGGATGCCACAAAACACTGGATATGGACATTGAGAGAAGTCAATGGTTTTCCCTTCAGTGTGACGAGTCGGTGGACGCGAGTGACACCGCGCAGCTGGCTCTTTTCGTGCGTATGGTGTTTGAGGACTTCTCCACCAAAGAGGAGTTTTTGACCTTGCTTCCACTAAAAACCTCCACCAGGGGAATAGACATCTACAACGTCGTAAAAGGATATGTGGTGGATAAAAAGTTCCCTATTAGAAAGCTGGTGTCCATAACGAGTGATGGAGCCCCTGCTATGACTGGCCGCCACAACGGATTTATTGCGCATTGCAAAGCGGACCCGGACTTTCCCAAGTTTTTGAACTACCACTGTATTATACATCAACAAGCCATATGTGCAAAGGTTCTGGATTTTGACCATGTTATGGGACCTGTTGTCAAGATAATCAACTCCATTCGACCAAAGGCAAAGCAACATCGGAGCTTCAAATTGTTCCTGGAGGAATGCGCCGCGGATCACGGGGATCTTCTCCTTCATACGGACATCAGGTGGTTAAGTCGCGGTAAGATATTGCAACGCTTTATTTCTTTGCTGGATGAAATCAAGACTTTTGTGGCGGCAAGGGGGGAAGATATTACGTTGTTAAATAATACGGAGTGGCTTCTTGATCTTGCATTTCTGACTGATGTAACAGATAAAATTAACCAACTGAACACACAGTTACAAGGCAGAGATAAACATGTGTCAGACATGATCAGTGCTGTGAGAGCATTCAGCGCTAAGCTCTCGTTGTACATCCAGCAGGTGAAAAACAAAAAGTTACAGCACTTTTCTTCTCTCTCAAACATGTGTGAAAATAATCCAGGGGCAGCCAGTGCTTTGAATGTGGACAAATATTGTGAGCTTTTGGCAAAACTTGGACAGGAGTTTGTTGACAGATTTGTTGACTTTGACAAACTTCAGCCTTGTGTGACATTTATGGCAAACCCCTTCATGGATGTGGACATAAGTGACATTTCTGGTCAGATGGCAGTACTTTTTGGTATTGATCCTGTAGAAATGGAAATGGAGGTGATTAACCTACAAAACAATGTGCAGCTCAAGTCTCAGCAGAGTTCAGGACATTTTTGGAGCCTTGTGGATCCAAATGACTTTAAGAACCTTAATGAGGTTGCTTTGAAAGTGTCTGCTCTGTTTGGGTCCACTTATCTTTGCGAGTCAGCTTTTTCGGACATGAATGCAATCAAATCAAAGTACAGGACGAGATTGACTGATCAACACCTGAACGATTCCATCAGGGTGAATTTGAGTAGCTATACTCCACAATACTCCAGTCTTGTTGAGGCCATGCAGTGTCAGCCATCCCACTGAGTATGTTTCAGCTTGAGCTTTTTGTTAGAGTGAAGTTTACATGTACACACTTTGTTTTAATTGTGGCAATATCAAGTGTTCGTTATTTTGATAATAATATCGCATGTTTCTCACTTTGTGCCTTTTCTCTAAACCATAACGGAAAAATAAATATTTCCGAGCATAAGTAGCTCACGCCTGATTTTTTAAATTAAAGTAGCTCACAGAGCACAAAAGGTTGGAGACCCCTGGTCTAAAGCAACAGTTACAGATATCTCAAATCTCATTGGTCTGTTTCCACTAGACCCACTCTACTCTACTCTACTCTACTCTACCAAAGCCTACTCTACTCTACTCTACCAAAGCCTACTTTACTCTACTTTACTCTACCCCACTCTACTCTACTCTACTCTACCCCACTCTACTCTACCAAAGCCTACTCTACTCTTCTCTACTCTACTCTACCAAAGCCTACTCTACTCTACCAAAGCCTACTCTACTCTACCCTACTCTACCTTACCCTACCCTACTCTACCTAATCCTTCTCTACTCTACTCTACCCTACCCTGCTCTATTCTACTCTACTCTACCCTACTCTACTCTACCAAAGCCTACTCTACCTTACTCTACTCTACCTTACCCTTTTCTACTCTACTCTACTCTACGTATTTCCTCTGGTCCTGTGTAACCAGTACCAGGTCCTTCTTTAGTCCCTCTTGGTCCTGGTTCTATCCAGGCCGAGCTGGTGCTAAAGTGTTCTAACCATGGATCTAACTGACATTGATGGGTCAGAATGCTGCTGAAAGCCATGGTTACCAAGGAATTTATCTGGACACTAGTTTATTTGGTCTTAGTATAATAGAAACACTGGTAGAGTAGAGTACAGTAGAGTAGAGTACACTACATTGGAGTAGAGTAGACTCCAAAACTCCAAAACTCCAAAGCAAACAGTAAATGTTCTGGTTAAAGATAAAAGTTTATTGGACAAAACAAAAACCGTCTCAGATACACGATTGTATTTATGTGTTCTACATTCTGTACGTCCTCACATCACAGTCCGGTCTGCTCCAGGACCTGGTTCAGGACCTGTTTGTTTTGCCTTAATCACTATTATTTCAGAGACTGCTTCACAAATGTCCCTGTGCTCTTTGTTCCCAGTTCCAAAACGCAGCAGCTGTGGTTCTGGTTCTGATCCAGATGTTCTGGTTCATTCAGCTCGAGGCTCGATCTGTAGAACCTTAACATCTGGATCTGTCTCCACCTGGACGTGTTTCCTCTGAGCCTTAAAGCTTCTGTCTGTATCCAGCTCCACATATTATTCACTGTTCAACACAAGAGCTCCCAAAGCAGTCAATATGACTGTTTTTGTGCTTCAGAAGTGTAGTTACACTTCATCACTTTGTTACTGTTTTGTTTATGACATTATTTTTATGATATAACAATATAAAATTGAAATGTAGCCATTTTTGGTCGCTTCACAACTGACCTTCGCTGGCAGGTAGACCCTTTTGGACTGGTCCTGGTTCAGTTTGGGTTTCCACCGGAGCAGAGCGAGTGCTAGTTACCGTAGCAACACACTGCACTGTCAGGTTAGCATTAGCATTTAGAATGGCTTCTGCTGCATTTTAGTTTTAGCTCTGAGTGAGTAAGTGAAACATCTCAGTAATGATTGAGTTTCTGTGGTGTAAATTTCTCAGAATGCCATTGGTTTGAATTGGAGCAGTCAAAATGACGGCTCTGGGAGTTCTAGTGTTAAGATCACTTTTTTTATCTTGATGCTTGCAAAACTCACATCTAAAAGAACAGAACTCGGCGGACTATAAACTTGTGGTCAGATTATGTGTGTTATATTTAGAGCGCCCCCTGGAGTGTAGGAGGCTGCGTGGTTAGCGCTCTTGTTTCTCAGCAAGGTGGTCCTGGGGTCAAATACCGGTCGGAACAGGGCCTTTCTGTTGGCACTTTACAACCGTCCCACTGTAGCCCCTGGTGTTCCCAGAGGTCTCCCATCCCTGCACTGACCGGGGGCGCCACATTTATGAATAGTGCTTTATCATCCAGTGAGTTCTGTTCTTTTTCAAACACTGGAGAAAATGTAATAATTGTACGAACCATAATGAACCCAATGTTAAAAGCACAGAAATATAAACTTAAAGAATATTGTGTGAGAGTTCTTCATGTTCCACTACTTTAAGTATTTGGCTTCTTCCAGATTATATTGAACTGAAAATGTCAGTTGAATATTTTATTTTTGCAGTGTTGTCAAAACCACCTGAAAGTTTATGTGAATTAAAATATTTATTTTGCATCTTGTGTGGAGTCTGTTTGTGACAGTTGTGCGGTGGAGTGGACTGAGTGTGACATCACAGTGAAGAAACTGTGGACAAATTCCTTATATGGGCATTTGTTCCGAGGGCGTTAGCTTCATGTCGATAGCTTCACGCAGTGCCGGCGTGGCTAATCGGGAGAGCCGGGAGGTTTCCCGGTGGGCCGGTTGGGCTAAGGGCCGGTTGGGCTAAGGGCCGGTGGGCTGGATGTTGTTGCTGGTTGGACTTGGCCGGCGGCCGTGCTTTCCTGACACCGCTGTTCACCGCAGCCTTCTCGGACCTGTCGCTCGCCCGTGCCCCACTGCCTCTCTCTCTCTCTCTCTCTCTCTCTCTCTCACCCACGCACACATGAGTAAACAGCACACACACTTCTGGCTAGTCTCATTTGGCCGCTTTCATTGGTTACGATGTGTTCTGCAACGGCCTGATTGGTTGTCTGTAGATTGTAGGCGGGATTAAGCGAGAGCGCGGGCCATAGATCAGGTTGAATGACAGATAGAACTGAAGCAAGCGCCGTTTCTCACAGACATGACATCTGTCCAACACGAGTGTTTTTAAAATGGAAAGGAACAAAATCAAGGGCTGAGGAGAAAAGATTAGAATAAAAAAAAGGAAAGCTCTTGAAGCTGAAGCAGCCAAATGTGCAAAGTTGGTAGTTTTTTTCTATAAAAAGTGCTCCGCCGATGAAGAGGCATCAGACCGCGGTAAGCTAGCAAAAAAAACATGCAAAACACTGTGGCAAAACATGACGACGTGATTCTCTAAATGATTAGCACTCCGTCATTACATTTATTGCTTCTTGGGTCCTCAGATACAACAATCGTTCATTCATATTAATGGATTGTATTTTTAATCAAATTTGACTAAGCCACTAAGGCCATGAATTTATTTATTTCATAATGTATAATGTATATTGCATAAATTACATTTTTAACTTTTGTGTGTTTGTCAAAAGATGTGAAGCATTTATGCTCATATCTACAGAAAAGACATCCTTTGTCATTGGTAATGACAATTATCATAAACAAAGTTGCATAAACAAGTGCACTTCTACAGAGTTTACTCTGTTTTAATGTGCTTCATTTAGCTATTGTTAATTTGGGTTTGATTGATTTAAATAGTGTGCAGTTTGTGTTTTCTCGTCTTGATAGAGGTTAACATTTAGTTTGCTTTTAGTTCTCCCCTGGGACAACATAGAAGTACGTTAAGATTAATTTTGTTTTTGTATAAAGTTGTACCAAGCACTGTTTTGTCTTAGTGTTGTATTTGCATTAGTCTTTGTTTTTGTTTAGTCTTGAAAGGAGGATGATAGTTTAATGGTTTCGAGTCAATTCAATGTATTTTTAAAAAAATATAGCCAAATCTTTGTGAATAACAATTATTTGAATGAAAATTGACATTGTTCTAAAATTTGTGAAATTCATGCTTTTTATATCCACATAAGTCTAGGGTCAGTCTAAAATTTGCCACAATTCATATTGTGATACCAGAATATTCAAATATCATGATTTATTCAAATGCATTATTGAGTTATTTTGTGACTAGCACTGAGAAGTCTAAAGGAGTGAACGAAGAATAATTTTAATACCATTAGTCTTGTAATTTACAAAACTTGATTTTAGGCCACCTGCTGGTTGTTATGGATATTACAACAGCAGGCAGTTCAGTTTTTTTTTTTATAGACTACTTTATCAGAAGGGCCGGTCTGACCCAGAATTCCCGGGCCAAAAAATTGTCCCACTCCGGCCCTGGCTTCACGTCAAAACCACGGCCTGTACAATGCTAACACGCTAACTCAGTGAAGCCCAATGGGGAAGAGCTGATGGCGATGTTTTAATCCAACTTTAATCCAACTCTTCTCACACATTAAGGCTACTCCTATAATCTATGAATTTCGCCCCTACGATTGGTCAGTTCTTATATAGTTATATGGCTCACATCTGGATTTCTCAAAGACAACATCACAATATGATCCCAGGATCAGAGAGAAACCACAGAAACCCAAAGATGCTGTGTGGGACAAAAACGGTTACTGAGCTAAAGGAGTTTACTTTTACATGAAGTCAATAGGAGCCAAAATTCACTGCAAGCATTTCCCTGTTGGCTTTGTAGAGCTAGTGTGTTAGCATTGTCCATCTGTATACAGTCTGTGTTAGCATCGTCCACTTGTATTCTTGGGTTTCGTTAACCTGGCCTGTAGGGGGCGCATGAGCAGAGGTGGGACAACTCAGTGTTGCTCCCATGTAAAACCATGTAAAGTCTGTTTTGGAGTCAAAGGCTCTCCTCCTGTGCGGTGTACGGTTGTTGGAACAGTCTTAATCGGGGACACTCAATTCTAAGAAAGTACAAAAAAATATATATCTCAAAAGAGTCTTGATTTTGGGCATTAAAAAAATACAGAAGAAATTGCTGCGTTTCATTGGGGTGGCCTGCAGGGGGCGCTTATCTGGGAAAGCCTTGATCCACCTCGCCCGCCTCAATCCAGTGATTTTTTTCAAAGTGTCCTTTATATGAGACCACAGTTGGAACATTAACAAACTCTTGTCTTTCTCTCTATTTGTGCGGTTACAAGCGTACACTGCACAAAAAGATGGCATTTTGACAGCGCTTCTACTATATCTCCGTGTATAAACCATAGACTGTATATATTAACCCGGCAGACTGCACCGCCAGGACACGTCACGTCCTGTCCCACGTTTGTTATTCACCACTGCCCTGACGTCATATGAAACCCAAGAATATTGTCTGTTAGCATTGTCCATCTGTAAACAGTCTGGAGTGAGGTGATGAAAACATGAAAACGTTAAGGTCAAAGAGATTTTATTATTGTACAAAATGCACCACATTGATAAGACTTCAGAAATGGCAACCGAGATCCGTTAAACTTCAATCGTTCTCAGACTATTATTCAATAAAACATTCCAACAGAAATCTAATCAGTCCCCAAAAGAATTTAGATGGAATGTGCAATACAAAATGAAGAAATAAAAAAAGCAAATCAATGCAGCGTGGGGCAGAAGGCATGATAAAAGCCCCGTCCTGAGGAGAGCTCTTCAGTAGCGCCGCGGGGGAGGGCTGTACTGCTGGTACCTTCTGGACGGGGGAGGACTGTAGCGACTGCGAGGGGGGGGGGAGGAGTAACGAGGAGGTGGGGATCCGCGGCTGTAGTACGGAGGGGAGTACCGGCCCCTGGACCTGGACCTGGATCGGGACCTGGGTCTGTCCCAGCTGGACGTCTCCCTGTCCTCAAAGACTCGGATCACAGACGTCTCGCCCTGAAGAGAAAGGATCAGGGAGAAGGTAGTGTCAGAAACAGGCCTGGAGATATGAGGAGTGGACAGAAGGAGAGAGAGAAGAGAGACGGGAGAGAGGAGAGAAGAGGAGAGGAGGAGAGACAGGAGGAGAGACAGGAGAAGAGGAGAGGAGAGGAGAGAGAGGAGAGACGGGGGAGGGGAGAGAGGATAAAGGAGAGAAGAGGAGAGATGGGAGTAGAGAGAGAGGGGAGAAGAGAGGAGAAAAAGGTGGGGAGAAGAGAGGGAAGAGGAGAGAGAAGAAGAGAGGGGTAGAGAAGAAGAGGGGGAGAGAAGAAGAGAGGGGGAGAGAAAAGAGGAGAGGGGGAGAAGAGGGACAGATGGGAAACTGAGTATGAAAAGAGAGAGGGGAGAAGAGGAGAGATGAGAGACGGGAGCAGAGAGGGGAGAAGAGGAGAGATGAGAGACGGGAGCAGAGAGGGGAGAAGAGGAGAGATGAGAGACGGGAGCAGAGAGGGGAGAAGAGGAGAGATGAGAGACGGGAGCAGAGAGGGGAGAAGAGGAGATATGAGAGACGGGAGGGAGAGAGGGGAGAGGAAAGAAGAGGAGAGATGGGAGCAGAGAGAGAGGAGAGAGAGAAGAGAGAGAGGGGTACAGGAGAGGTGAGAGAAGAGGAGAGGGGAGAGAAGAGGCTAGATGAGTGGGGGGAGAGGGGAAACTGAGTGAGAAAAGAGGGAAGAGGAGAGATGAGAAAAGGGATGAGAAGAGAAAAGATGGGAGGGGAGAGTAGAAAAGAGAAAGGAGAGAGGGGAGGGAAAGATTTCCTGGTGCTCTTCGTTTACTATCATAGCCTTCTTGACTCTCACTGAACACTGGGACCAGGACGTGTAACCATGGAGACGCCTGTAGACCCACCTGGTGCGACCTGAACTCGGAGCGGTCCAGCTGGCGGATGGCGTACTCCATGTCGTCTCTGCGGACGAACTCCACAACGCCGTCTCCAGAACGCTGCACATCTGTGTAGCACACGTCTCCTGCTTCACGCATGTGGTCCTTCAGGTCCTGCCAGCTGCCAGTGGACGGCAGCCCTGGAATTTACACACACACACACATAACTACACAATATCAGCCAACATTAGACAGTCATCAGCAAAAACAGAAATTATACATAATCCTTGTTTCATTCTACTCTACTCTACTCTACTCTACTCTACTCTACTCTACTCTACTCTACTCTACTCTACTCTACTCTACTCTACTCTACTCTACTCTACTCTACTCTACTCTACTCTACTCTACTCTACTCTACTCTACTCTACTCTACCTAGAGTAGAGCAGAGTAGTGCAGGGGAGAGGAGAAGAGGAGAGGAATAATAAAATGTAAATATGCATTTTATCCACGTAGGGAACTGTGTCCTCTGCATTTGACCCTGCAAAGCCACGCGGGCCTCGATCAGGAGCAGTGAACCCATCTCCAGATGTTGATGCCCGACTTTTGGTCAGGACTCCCAGAGCTGGAGGATTCACCTACAGTGCATGTTTTTAGTAGTAGGGGAAAGTACAAACTCTGACACTGTGCAGAGTAGATTGCACTTCTGCTTCACAGCAAGATGGTCCTGGGTTTGAATCCCAATTGGAACAAGGCAGGAGAGAGAGGAGAAGAGAGAGAGAGGGGAGAGGAGAGAGAGGGGGGGGGAGAAAAGAGAGGGAAAGGAGAGGACAGAGAGAAAGAGGAGAGTATAGTAGAGTAGAGTTGGTGGAAACAGGGCTAACATAACACCAGTTTTTCTACAGGACAAACACATTCTTTAAAAAAGCATGCGTTTGTTACAACAGAAAACAAAAACAAACACCTACCATTAAAGGATACTGTTGTTTGGGAATGAGTTTCCAACATGAGCTACTTTGAGTTTGAAGAGCATTCAGACATCTGGGGTCTCTCTCTCTACTGTTATCACCGTTATCATTACGAGGCAGTAAACACCTCTCCCTACAGTCAGTGAGGTCCACAGCACCTCGCTCTAACCTCTGAGGTCCTCCGTCCTCCTCCAGGTGAGAGAAGGGAACATCCATAACTACTACCTCCTTCAAAGCGGCTCGTGTACAGACAGAAGGCTCTAGTCTCCATCCTCCTCGTCCAGTGGGTTTTACAGAGTGTGAATCCTGGTCCTTTTCCATGGAATCATTGGTCACAGTCCTCCTAAGATTTGAGTTTTCCTCCATTTTTTCCTTTGGGGTAAAAATACAAAACAAACACAAAAACCAACTCTGGCTCATGACGTCCACCTACCAGTGACCATCACCCGGAACTCTGATCTTCGCGTCGCAGATCCTCCTCTTCCTCTTGAGGCAAATCCTCCTCCTCCTCCTCCTCCTCTTGGGGCATATCCTCCTCCTCCTCCTCCTCCTCCTCCTCTTGGTACATATCCTCCTCCTCCTCCTCCTCTCCCGCCTCTAAACGGGTTTGAGGATTCCCGTGGGTATTCCACTCTCAGTTTGACATCTCCAAATCCAAATCCATTCCTTTCACACACAGCGTCAGCCGCATCCCTGGAACAGACACAGAATCCTTACCACCCAGGCCTCAGCGGCATCCAGACGAGGAGGTCCAGAGAGGGGACTGCTTTAGCGGCTCCTCCTGGAGGTTCCAAACACTCACCGTGGATCTTCATACTGAATGAAGGCAAAGGGAGAAGAGCCGCTGTAGTTCTTCAACTCAATGACACGGATTTTCCCAAACTTGGTGAAGAGGTCCTCCAGGTCTCTGCGCTGCACGTCCGTGGGGAGGTTCCCGACGTAGATGCGTCCGTCGGACATGGCTCAGACTGGTTTGAAGAACTGTGTGATCCTCAAGAACGCTTCAACACAGAACGGGAATATTAAAGGGTTAACACTGGAACTCCAAGAGCAGTCAATGTGACTGCTTTTTGGACTGACTCTGGACTTCCACCACAGAAGAGCGAGTGCTAGTTACCATAGCAACACACGGTTTACCAACGCACCTTTTAAAACCTTTATTCTGAATTTCAACTACATGCACCAGTTTAATCTCTGAGTAAAAAAAAAAAAGAGTACAGGTAAAAATCTTAAAGATTACTCTTAAAAAATCTAGTGGAAAACTAAACATGGGGGAGGTGGCTTTGAATGGGAACAGTCAAAATGACGGCTGTGGGAGTTCTGGTAGTTAACAATTCAGTCGCGAGAGCCTTCCCCGGTCACACAGCTGTATGTGGAGATTAACAAACTGAGACTGGAGTCAGAGAGAGGCTTCTGACATGTGTTTCTCCGACACTAGCTTCACGTTTCACCGCATTCGCCCTCAGCGTCAGTAACTGACGTCTCTCGCTCAGTTTAGCTCAGCTCAGTTTAGCTCAGAGTCAGAGAGGACAGAGAGAGTTACCGGGGGAACCGGAGGACCCGGAGCACGCAGGACTTTGGTGAAGTTATTGCAGTTTTTGTGTCTTCTGCTTCGAGCATGAGCTGTACTTCCGGGTTCTATTCTTCCTCCTCTTCTTCGTTTTCAAAAATACAACTCCAGGATCCGGCTAAGGACCGAGGGCGCCACTGTGCGGTTAGACATGGAACTGCAGTCTGAGGGCGCCACTGTGCGGTTGGACATGGAACTGTAGTCTAAAGGGCGCCACAGTGCGGTTGGACATGGAACTGCAGTCTGAAGGGCGCCACAGTGCGGAGGAACACAGAACTGACGGTCACACGTAAACACATCCTGCATCATGATTTTGAAGTCACTTTTTTTTAATATATTTTTTTTCTATTACAAAAGGACAAATATACAAATAAACGATACACACAATGACGAAGATAAACAGAAATATATACATTGTATACAGAAACAAATGACATTCATAATGGGTATAAAAGGAAATAAGGTTTTATATATGAGTTTGAGACTTTAATGACTACGATTAGGGAGAAGGTGAATAATATTTGAGATTTAAATTATAGGGGGGCGTTAAAGGGAGACTTGAGTTTTTATGTTTGATGTATCAAGGTTTCTAATAATTTGACTTTGGAGTTGTTGTTTTTTTGCTGTTAATGAGGGATATAGATTTAATGTAGTTGTTGATTTCGGAGATGGCTGCTTGGAAGGATGGCTTGGTTTTGTTGTTGTTTGCTTCTATGTATGTGTTGTTTGCCAAATAATATGAATAAGTTGATAATTCTTTCGATTTTATTGTTTTGGTGGGAAAAATGGGTGATAATGTTTCTGTCACAGATAATTATGGAGGTATTTAGTTTTTGGGATAGAAATTGGCTTATAGCTTGCCAGAAAGGTATGATGAAGTCACTTGCCCAACACTGAACACTACACTCCGCATCACAGACTAGAGGTTATGTCAGAAGCCCCGCCCCCCGTATATAGCCCCAGCCTCAGCGCTCTCTCTCACACTCAACTCAGACTTGGGGAAACGTCAGAAAACATACAAACATGTCGTATCCAAAGTGTTTAGCTGCTTTATTTCGGCGTAACGTCCACAGAGCACATGGCCTCAGACCCGGTGTGGGGCCAGGGAGGTACCGATCCACGGCCGCCTCCAGCGAGCGCGCGGAGAAGCAAGTGATCTCGGAGCACCCGGAGAACCCCGCGGTGGTGGTGCAGACGGAGCCACTGGAGCTGATCTCTCAGAGGAAAGCTCAAAACAAACATCAGACTCGTGCGATTCAGATCGACTTTGAAAACACGGAGGAGGCGTACAGGAGCAAGAGCAACGTGGAGCTGCTCCGGAGTCTGCTGGTCTTCAAGCTCTGCACCATAGACGTCCTGGTGGACAAGAACAAGGAGGTATCTACTCTACTCTACTCTACTCTACCCTACCCTACCCTACCCTACCCTACTCTACTCTACTCTACTCTACTCTACTCTACCCTGCTACTGTATACTGGTCTACTCTACTTTACTCTACTCTGCTGTGCATCTCAGGCAAGGATATCTTCTGCCAGAGGGAAGAAGCTGGAACATCAGGGGTCAGAAGAGTCATGGATTATTTTAAAGGCTCGGTTTAAGAGTCCAGATTCATAAAGAACCTCCAGAACGGACAGCTCAGCGCTCACAGCTCACAGTCTTCTTTGCACCTTGTTGTGTTTCCATTATGCTTTTGTAGCTGGCACCGTATAGCAACCTACCCACCACAAAACCAGTATCCGGGGAAATTCCTCGGTAACCACGGCTTCCAGCTGCACTCTGACCACTCTGTCAGTTAGAACACTTTAGTACCAGCTCGGCCGGAAAAGAACCAGGAGCAAGAGGGACTAGATGGACAAGAGTAGAGGAGTGTAGAGTAGGGCAGAGCAGAGTAGAGTTAAGAGTAGAGTAAACTAGACAAGAGTAGAGTAGAGTAGAGTAGAGTCAGACTAGAGTAAAGCAAAGCAGAGTAGAGTAGAACAGATCAGAGTAGAGTAGACTAGAATCAGACTAGACTAGAGTAGAGTAGATTCAGACTAGAGTAGATTCAGACTAGAGTAGACTACTCTACTCTAGTCTACTGTAGAGTAGAGTCAGATTAAACTAGACTAGACTAGAGTCAGATTAAACTAGACTAGAACTAGACTAGACTAGAGTCAGATTAGACAAGACTAGACTAGACTAGAGTCAGATTAGATTAGACTAGACTAGACTGGAGTCAGATTAGACTGGAGTCAGATTAGACAAGACTAGACTAGAGTCAGATTAGACTAGAGTCAGATTAGACTAGACTAGAGTCAGATTAGATTAGACTAGACTAGAGTCAGATTAGATTAGACTAGACTAGACTAGAGTCAGATTAGACTAGACTAGAGTCAGATTAGACAAGACTAGACTAGACTAGAGTCAGATTAGATTAAACTAGACTAGACTGGAGTCAGATTAGACTGGAGTCAGATTAGACAAGACTAGACTAGAGTCAGATTAGACTAGAGTCAGATTAGACTAGACTAGAGTCAGATTAGATTAGACTAGACTAGAGTCAGATTAGATTAGACTAGACTAGACTAGAGTCAGATTAGACTAGACTAGAGTCAGATTAGACAAGACTAGACTAGACTAGAGTCAGATTAGATTAAACTAGACTAGACTAGAGCAGAGTTAGGTTATGACGTGTGTCTGTTTGTGAAGTCTGTTATGTGTGTTTTTACAGCTCATAGACCTGAGTCGGAAGCTTCTGGGTCAGAGACTGTTCGAGCTCATTATGAAGATGACGTTTTATGGTCAGTTTGTAGCTGGTGAGGACCATAACTCCATCAAACCCCTGGTCCATAAGAACAAAGCGTTCGGAGTCGGGGCAGTACTGGACTACAGTGTGGAGGAGGACCTGACGCAGGAGGAGGCCGAGAAGAAGGAGATGGAGTAAGTACAACCTGCTCACTAAGATCCTGAAGTATCTGCTGCAAAAGGAACATTTACTGTAAATAATGTTTATTTATAAAGCTCATTTTACAGACAAAGGTCACCCAAAGCACTTATGTATATATAATAATTTAAGATTAATTAATTAATGTCCATTAATGGGGAAATCTTATAGGTCCATGCAGTAGGTTTCTCTCTGGTCCCTCTCTCGAGTCTCTCTCTGGTCTCTCTCTGGTCTCTCTCTCTGGTCTCTCTCTCTGGTCTCTCTCTCTGGCCTCTCTCTGGTCACTCTGGCCTCTCTCTGGTCACTCTGGTCTCACTCTGGTCTCACTCTGGTCTCACTCTGGTCTCACTCTGGTCTCTCTCTGGTCTCTCTCTGGTCTCTCTCTGGTCTCTCTCTGGTCTGACTCCTATGTGTTTCTTATTATTACAATGTTTGATTCTCTGATCTGTTGTTGGTGAATCTACAACTTGGTAAAGTCCTCTGACATCTGCTGCTGTGGTTTAGGGCAATACATGAGTTGCATAAGTCTGTTCTTATCTCCACATGACGTGTTTGGGCTCCAGCTCAAAAAACATTCTCGACTCCAGCAGCGTCAAAGTCAAACAAACTGTTCTGGTTCATGTTTACATTCTTTAGCCCCATTTCCATCAACTGGATTAAGGGGAAGAAAATGGATGGATTGATCTGGTACCGCAACCTACCCACAACAAGAGTAGAGTAGAGTAGAGTAGAGTAGAGTAGAGTAGAGTAGAGTAGAGTAGAGTAGAGTAGAGTAGAGTAGAGTAGAGTAGGTGAAAACGGAGATTTTTGGTCTTCGTCTCCTATAAAGAACGTGTATTCAAACCATGTGACGCTGGTCTGTGGTTAGAGCAGAAATCTAGACCACATGTGCTTTCCTCCTTGGAGCTCTCTGGGGCGATGCCATTGGACGAGCAGAACAGGCCTCTCTCCTCTGATTGGCTGAAGGGAGGGGTCAGGAGTCTGCCAGGCTTTAAGAATAACTGGGGACTGGGATGGGGTTGTGCAACACTCTTTAGAGAAGCATGGTTGGTGCTGTTTTAACTCGGCACCGGAGTAAACAACCTTCTTCTACATAATAAGGAGAGGCAAGTTTATTTGTATAGCACAGTTCATACAGAAGGCAACCCAACGTGCCGAACAAAACCAGATTGAAACTGCAAGATTTAAGATTATAAATGGCATTGTCCATCTTTAAACAGTCTGTGTTAGCATTGTCCATCTTTATACAGTCTGTGTTAGCATTGTCCATCTGTATACAGTCTAACAATAAATAATATAATTTCAAAAACAAATCTGCCAACCTTTTATGAATACGACTTCTTCATGTTTATAATATTCTCATAAAATTGAGATCCATTCTTGGCAATGGACTGTTCAATTACTCAGATGTGAATTGGTTTTGATCAATATGTTGTTTTGCAGATCCTGTATTTCTGAAGCAGAGAAAGAAAGTCCAGGTTGGTCATCCTCTTACGCTTCACCTGTGCCCGGTGCGTTTGACCCATCCCTGCAGCCTGCCCGGGCCAATGGTCGCCTGATAAACTGGGGAGGGGGGCTGGAAAAGAAACACGAGAGACCAACGTGCATTCCTCATGGACTGGTTCTGACTGGATTTGGTCACGTTGAAAAAGTCCAGGCCACGAGAACTCTCAGAGAGATTGGGTTTCGTGTTCGCCACATACTTTTAGCTCAGAGTTTTAGAGAGGAGCTTTAACTCTCTGTCAATTATTAGTATCTGTGGTTATTTTAGTGGTTCATTCACAAGTATACAGCATATGTTAGGAGTGGACTGACTGATGGATAATGCCTGAGAGGGAGACCAGAGAGGGAGACCAGAGAGGGAGACCAGAGAGGGAGACCAGAGAGGGAGACCAGAGAGGGAGACCAGAGAGGGAGACCAGAGAGGGAGACCAGAGAGGGAGACCAGAGAGGGAGACCAGAGAGGGAGACCAGAGAGGGAGACCAGAGAGGGAGACCAGAGAGGGAAACCAGAGTGATCATGATATTTATATAGCAATGTTATCTTTGTAAATCCAGTCCAGCATTGTCCATCTGTATACAGTCTGTGTTAGCATTGTCCATCTGTATACAGTCTGAGTTAGCTTCATGTCTCTGTTTTAGACGATGGACTGCGAGAGAAGAAGTACAAAGCTCACCGTCAGTTTGGAGACAGACGCGGCGGCGTGATCAGCGCTCGTACCTACTTCTACGCAGACGAGTCCAAGTGCGACAAACAGATGGAGACTTTCATCAACTGCATCAAGGCCTCGGGTCAGGATCCTCCCGTAGAAGGTTTTAGACTGAGAATATCTGTCTTAAAGAAGTGACGTTTGTGTGACTCACAGGAGGAGCTTCTGCGGACGGGTTCTCAGCCATCAAAATGACTGCTCTGGGACGGCCACAGTTCCTCGTATGCTCATACATTATACTTTATTTACAAATACTTATCTACAGCCCTGTTTCCACCAGCCTGACTTGGCTCTACGCTGGCTCTACTCTACTCTACCCTACTCTACTAGATTTTACCCTACCTTACCCTACCCTTCTCTTTTCTACTATACCCTGCCCTAACCTAATCTACTCTACCTGTTTATGTCCCCACTACGCTTTTACCTACCCACAAGAAACCAGTATCTGTGGAAATTCCTTGGTAACCATGGCTTCCAACTGCATTTTGGCCAATCATTGTCAGTTAGAACACATTAGTACAAGCTCGGCCTGGATAGAATCAGGACCAAGAGGGACCGAGTAGAGTAGAGTAGAGTAGAGTAGAGTAGAGTAGAGTAGAGTAGAGTAGAGTAGAGTAGAGTAGAGTAGAGTAGAGTAGAGTAGAGTAGAGTAGAGTAGAGTAGAGTAGAGTAGAGTAGAGTAGAGTAGAGTAGAGTAGAGTAGAGTAGTTGTGTGCTCGTACGCCTGTCCTGTGAGTGCGTGGCAACACTGACATTTCCCCACAGTGGGAGAGTGAAGCCTGATGGTCTGTTTTCTCTCACAGCTGCAGTTTTCTGAGGTTCTGTTGAAGTGGAGGCGTTTCTTCAGCGTCCTGGCGGCTCAGCAGGGTCAGTCCCAGATGATGGTTCTGGACCAGAAACTGGAGCTGGAGGAGCTCAAGGTACAGCCGCTTCTCCAACTGCACAGAACACTGGACTATAGACACCTGAATGTGAACTGCACCAGCAACATGTTGTCCACATACAGGCCACATCTGAATATTAGCTGCAGATTTTCATACGAAAAGGCATTCTGATATAAACACAGTGGCGCCCCCTGCAGGTGAAAGCCAGATCCTGTCAGACCTCGGCAGCTGTGGCTACAGTAGTAGTTTATCAGGACTGTGTTTAGAGCGAATAATAACGCTGAGAAGAGACTTTGAGCCTCCAGAAAAGTTCTGTATAAATCAAATGCATTATTTATTATTATTATTATTATTATTATAAGCAAATCTGTAAATATGAACAGACGTAGTCACGCTTTTGTCCGCTGTTCAAACTATTGTGCCACCACTTTTGCCTTCTGTGTGGTAGCCCATTTGCGAATGCGTTAGCTGCACTAGCCTAATTTATTAAAATAATGCATTCAAAAGTCCACAGCGGCTAAACTAGACTTAACCAAATGCCTGTTCTCTCGCCGCAGACCTGCTTGGCGGACATGGGGGTCGGAGGGAAAGATGAGATCGAGAGTTGTTTCACCGGAGAGAGACTGGGCCTCTCGGGGTAAATGTGAAGCAGCTCAGGGCGGAGGGGCCGACAGACTGATCTTATTTGGTTTGTTTTCACAGAACCATTGATCTTCTGGATTGGAACAGTTTGATTAATGACACCACAAAGATCTCCAACCTCCTGATGGTGCCGAACCTGAAGGTGGGTCAGGCCTTTTCTGGTTCACGAAGACATTAAGGGTTTTATTGGTTTGAGACAGAACTTTGTATTAAAGAAGCTTAAGTTATCTGCAGTCAAGAAACACCTCATGCTCCCTATCTGTGTTCCATAATTATATTATTGATAATATCTCTGGAAATAACTGTAAGGACAATATTACAATATAACTACCAGGATTACAGAGAGCACTAAACCACAGATTTCTCTGGTCTTTTTCTAGTCTCTCTCTGGTCGCTCACTCTGGTCTCTCTCTCTGGTCTCTCTCTGGTCTCTCTCTGGTCTCTCTCTGGTCTCTCTCTGGTCTCTCTCTGGTCTCTCGCTGGTCTCTCGCTGGTCTCTCTCTCTGGTCTCTCTCTGGTCTCTCTCTGGTCTCTCTCTGGTCTCTCTCTGGTCTCTCTCTGGTCTCTCTCTGGTCTCTCTCTGGTCTCTCTCTGGTCTCTCTCTGGTCTCTCTCTGGTCTCTCTCTAGTCTCTCTCTGGTCTCTCTCTCTGGTCTCTCTCTCTGGTCTCTCGCTGGTCTCTCGCTGGTCTCTCTCTCTGGTCTCTCTCTCTGGTCTCTCTCTGGTCTCTCTCTCTGGTCTCTCTGTGGTCTCTCTCTGGTCTCTCTCTGGTCTCTCTCTCTGGTCTCTCGCTGGTCTCTCTCTGGTCTCTCGCTGGTCTCTCTAAGCCTAGTGTGAAACAAACATATTACTGAGACAGGGGAGTTTACTTTTACATGCAGTTAACAGGAGCCAGAGAGAGGAGCCAAACTTCACCATGAGCACTTCCTTATTGGGCTTGATTGAGCTCGTGGGTTAGCCTCGTCAGATGTGTGTGTTTTTGACCTATATGTAATCTGTTTTTGATATTGTCTATGAGCAGACGGGGCATCTGGAGCCTTTGCTGAAAAAGTTCACTGCTGAAGAGGAGCAGCAGATGAAGAGAATGCTGCAGAGAGTTGATATTTTAGCAAAGGTGAGAAAAACTGCCTCAGGTCCAGACTCATCACTAGTGTTGGCGATGCAGTAGACAGAGCAAAGTTGTGCGGTAAAGTACCATGTGGCCGCAGAACTGAAAAAGGTCTTGTTATGATTCTCAAATCATTAACGCCAAAACAAGGGAAAAAACCAAGCCCCGGTGATCCAAGATGGCGCCCTATTCAAATGAATGGCTTGTGCTCAGTAGTTCATGGGACTTCACGGAGGGTTCTGCACAGTGGACGAGCTCCCATGATGCGTTGCTCCAAAAACGCGTGTGTTGCTCTCACGCACGTGCACAGAGGGGCTCGGCCGCGCTCTGACCAATCAGAGCTGTTCATCAAAGCAGCAGCAGAGCGGGAAGGAAAGGAGCAGAGTTTGTGGCAGTAAAGTGTGGATTTAAAGAAAACCGAAGGATTTTAGAAGAAAAAAAGTTCAAGACAGCTACAAGCTAGTAATACTCAATCCAGATATTTTTCATAAAATCCATGAATAAAACAAAAAATTCTATCTTTGTGAAAAAGGTGTTTGTTATGGATTTGTTGTTGTCTATTCAGCTGTTATGGTCCCAGCTGGATTTGTCTGCATATCTGGCAACCTGAGTCAGGGAGAGTGGGAGAGGCTGCAGTACCACTTTTGGCCATTGCAATAATATTGAATTGTGGCCTAAATATCGCAATACTATTGAATCCTCAAGGTTTGCTGATACCCACCTCTACACCTCTTCACTCTAACACTGACGTATGGGGGGGTCTAGCATGCTGTGGAGAACGGCGTGCGGCTCATGGTGGATGCAGAGCAGACGTACTTCCAGCCTGCGATCAGCCGCCTCACCCTGGAGATGCAGAGGAAGTTCAACACAGACAAACCCATTATCTTCAACACGTACCAGTGCTACCTGAAGGTACACACACACACACACACACACACACACACACACACGTTTTTGTTACCTGGTGGGTCCCTTTGACAGGGCCGTTCAGAATGGGACCCATAGACATAATCTTTTTTTACTGGGACTACTTTAAGTAATACAAAACAGTCAATAGAAACCAAACAACTATTTTAAAGGAATTTTATTTTAGATTTTGTTTTCGAATTGCAGTGATTCTATTTTTGACATAGAATTTAATGCCACTCCATGTCCGATGTCTAAGGTCATCTGGTGAGGCATTAATGCAGGCCAGGCAGTGAGACTTCCCAGGGACCTTTCCAGTCTGTATGAAAGGTGTCATGGTCTTCTCCACAGCCTTCACCTCAGATGCAGACCATGGCTTTCTTACACGTTCTAGGGAGAGAAATAAAAATATATTAGCAATATACACTCCCAGGGTTAGGACCAAGCAGCCTGGCTGTAATCCCCCACCTGGTACACTTACCAGAAGGGGCACTGCCACTACCATGGGGTGCATCTGGATGAATGGTTGAAGGTTCTTCGCTTGAAGTTTCTTTTAGCCCGTCCGTTTGTGAGAGGATCTCTACTGCTCTCCCTGTCGCACAGAAAATAAAAATACAAGTGGCCTTTAGGGGAAAAAAATCATACATATTTTAATAATATCAAGAATTACCTTCAGGCTCAATTTGTATCTGGTCGAGGCTCTTTCCTTCGAATTCCGTCACTCTTCCCTGCTCCATGGCCATCAACACTTTGCTGATTTTGGCCAGCTCCAGTGTCCCCTCTGGTAGTCTGTAATATTGCCTGTGGATGCGAATGTCATGGCCGAGGAAGTTGGCAAGTATGTCCATCTCATTCTCTTTCATATTGAGAACTGTAGACATAGTAGCTATGTGCTTTCTAAGTTTGGTTGAGGATAGCATCTCTGGATGCACCGCACCACATTCTTTGGCTACCTGGCGTAGGGAGTCTGATCCCCTGATGTGGGTGTCTGCGCCCGGGCGGGAAAAGAAGTATGGGTTATGGTCAGAGATGGAACAGGCCCTTCTGTTCTCCACCAGCACCTCCATCGAAGCAATCATTTCAGGAGTCAAAAGAACCGGCACTTTCCGACTTCTTTTCCCTTTAATTTCAATGCGTTGAAAATGCTGACACAGCTTTTTCTCAAGTTGGGACAGTCCCAGAGCAATGTCAGAATGGATCCCAGTCTTACTTCTTAAGGTAAAGGCTGTCAGTGGCATCTTTGAAACCTCACCTTCCCTTCTTCGATTGAAAATGATGACCTCACAAAGAGTCAAAACTGCCAGTTTAGACCAATGCTTAGACGTTGGCTCACTTATTAGGGTTTGCACATATTCAGGTCGACATACCTCAATATGTGCATGCATGGCTCTAACGTCCTCAGTCAGAGGGAGCAGGTCCGGAGTGTTCCACTTGGCTTGCCGGAGGGTCTGTAGGGCAGCAGAAGAAACACAGACGTCCCACCTCTTCTCAAAAAGCAGCCGGCTTCGTTGGAGGTTTTTAATAAATAGTTCATCAGCAGTTTTTAAAACTGAACTGAAAACAGTTCTTTTTAGCTGTGCATACAAGTGAATGATTTTATATTTGTTTTTATCTTTAATCTTTTTAATGCGCTATGATTATTTATGATTATTTATGATTGTAATCCCTTGTGTGATTTTAATGTTTTACGGTTTTTAACTACTTGTGTGATTTTATATATCTTGTGCTCTTAATCTGTCTTTTTATGTTTACTTAAATTCTAATGTTTGATGATTTATGCATGATGTTATATGGGTTGTGAGGCGCTTTGCGTTGCCTTGTGTAGGAAAGGCGCTCTATAAATAAACGTTGATTGATTGATTGATTGATTCATCAACACAATGCTCCATTTTTGAGTCACATTCAAGAATATCTGCTAGCTTTCTGAGGCTATGGCCGAGTTTGAGGGCCAAGGATGGAGTCTTGTATTGATTTGTTTCCTCATCATATCCAGCCACAGACCTGACTGCATCAATCACATGGTTAAAGTTGGAAGGAATAAAGAAATCCTTAATTGTTTTCAGTTTCCCTGCGGTTTTTGCTTCGTTAATTAACCTACCGACTTCTCTCATTTTCTGCCTAATGTAATCATGCTTAGTCTTATCATGCCCGTGTTTTAAGTACAGGTGCTCTCCGAGTCTCGGAATCCCCTTTTCTGCTTTGACAACACCCGTGACCTCATCCTGATGCATTGCCCAAATTAAAGACCACAGCTTTTTGCTGATGCCCTCCGGTACAGGCTGGGCTAGGGAGCAGAGGGACTGGACCCTACTTCTACCTGGTTTAGCCTGGGCATCTTTCTGTGAAAGCCGGCACCTGGCCACATGCCTCCACAGCGACTTTCGCTTAAGCAATGCCCCACAGTCTATACAGTGCAAAAACTCACTGGATTTAACTGGGGAATTTGGCTGTTTAGCTGGGACTAAAGTTCCAATGCCGGCCTTTAAAACCTCAAAATTGTGCTCACGGTTTCCACTATTCCTGATCAAATCAAACTGAAGTTTACGTGCTTTAGATTTCACAGGTAGAGCCAATGCTCTGGCTACGTCACTTTCATTTCCATGTTTTCTAGTCAAATGACGGGACATTTTGTGGCAGGACATTGAACAGTAGAGGCAGAAGTGTCTCTTGCTGTAAACCCTGCCCCCATTTTTCTTCTTTTGCAGCTGCATGATAACAATCTTATTTGCCTTTGGTTCGTCACTTTCCGAGTCTTGAAGAAAAGTGTTTTTGATTTTTCTTTTTCCATACTTTTTTACAGGTTTCTTCTTGACAGTTAAATCGTCAGAATCTGAGTCGACTTCATCAATTAGGGACTCTTGACTAAGCTGCACAAACAACAAATAATTTGTAATCATTCTATAAACAATTTGAAGTCATGACTTGTAGTCAGCACTTACCAGTGGTTTGTAAGCGTGCGCTTCAGTGTGCTCCTCCATGATTTCTTGCAGCCTAATGAACCACACACTTGCACCTTTTTCTAGCCTGACACCTGATTTCCTCTGTTGTGCTGCTCCATGATTGGCTCCAGCCTGCTGGACTGAAATTGCCCCAGTGTGCCCCTCCTTGATATCCCGCAACCCACCACCAGGGTTCCGACACATAACACACTTTTTTCAGGAAAGTAAACCTCCAGGGGTCCTTTCCATATTTTTACAGAGACTGCATAAGGACCGTTAGAAAAGCATTACCCATTGATTATTAAGGTTGGACCAGTGGGGTCCGGTGTTCGGGCCCCACCACGTAAAACCAGTCCCCATGACGTGAGTGGAATCTCAGGTTATGGAACCCACCAGGAGTTGAAAACAAGTGCACACACACACACACACACACACACACACACACACACACACACACACACCTGAAGGTACATATACACACACGTGACCATGTGTTTGTGTGTTCAGGAAGCCTACGATAACGTGACCATGGACGTGGAGCTGTCTCGCAGAGAGGGCTGGTACTTCGGAGCCAAACTGGTGCGTGGAGCGTACATGTACCAGGAGAGAGCCAGGGCCCACGAGATCGGGTACGAAGACCCGATCAACCCGGACTACGAGGCCACCAACAGGATGTACCACAGGTCAGCTGCTGTTTACACTCCCACAGCAGTCAATTAGACTGCTCTGAGTTTAAGTGTAATTAGTGTACATCTCCGGCCTTCATAACGTTTTTGCTTCTGTCTGTAGTTTATGCACAGTATGTGTCATTATTATTATAATAATAAGTATTCCACCATTCCTGCTCTGGTCCTGCTCTGGTCCTGCTCTGGTCCTGGTTTTCCACCGGAGCAGAGCGAGTGCTAGTTATCGTAGCAACAAACTGTTTACTGTAATCAATTAGCATGAGCCTTTCAGCTAGTTTCATTAACCCCTTCTTCAAAGTGAATAATGGTCAAATCTTATAAATCTGTGGAAAAACTAGCATTTTGGGGATTTTCCAGAATTCCATGGATTTGAATTTCCAGACTTGATGAAGTGAGTGTGTGCAGGTGTCTGGATTATGTGCTGGAGGAGATCGAGCAGAGCCGCAAAGCTAACGTCATGGTCGCGACGCACAACGAGGACACCATTAAATTCACCTTAGAAAAGTACGTGATGTCCGAGTGTGTGATGTCACGTGTCCGAGTGTGTGATGTCACGTGTCCGAGTGTGTGATGTCACGTGTCCGAGTGTGTGATGTCACGTGTCTGATTGTGTGATGTCACGTGTCTGAGTGTGTGATGTCACATTTTTTCTATGATTGACAGGATGAATGAGATGGCCCTTTCACCCAATGAGAATAAGGTTTACTTTGGACAACTGCTCGGCATGTGTGACCAGATCAGCTTCCCTCTAGGTACGCACACATGCCGCCACACACACACACACACACACACACACAGAGACATACACAAGCACACACACAGAAAAACAGACACGCATACATGTACCAACATGCACACACACAACGGTAACACGCATACACCCTCACAGGTATGCACACACACAGAGACCCACACACGCACACACCTCCAACAGTAATCATGATTACTTCAAACCTGTCTGACACTCTGGAATATTTGGCAACATCCCCACTGAGTCAGAGAGACCTCTACACACACACACACACACACACAGTCACACACAGACACACACTCGCATGTATTCACACACACACGAAAATAGGCACACACACGGCCACATAGGCACGCACACACACACACACAGAGACACACAGAGACCTCCACAGTTCAAACTTCTTTCTCGTTGGACGCGCAAACACACACAGTCACACAGACACACACACATGCCGCGTTGTGAGTGACGTGAGCCGCTCTTTCTCCAGAGGTCGAACAAACACAGAAAAGATCGACTGCTTTGACACGAGAGAAACCTCTGTTCGTCAAAGTTTGTTTGAGCGTTGCCATGGTTACATAATTAATACACAACATCAATCTGGCTCACCCTGTGTAAACGATGGTAAATACTGTAGATGTGTGACCTGGGCTTGTCTGTGGCTGATCCCAGGTCAGGCTGGATTCCCGGTCTACAAGTATGTCCCGTACGGTCCGGTCAACGAGGTCATCCCGTACCTATCCCGCCGCGCACAGGAGAACCGCGGCTTTGTCAAGGGCACACAGAGAGAGCGCCACCTGCTGTGGAGGGAGCTGAAGCGCAGGGTCCTGAGGGGGCAGCTCCTCTATACACCTGTGTACTGAGAGACCAGAGAGGGAGAGACCAGAGAGGGAGAGACCAGAGAGGGAGAGACCAGAGAGGGAGAGACCAGAGAGGGAGAGACCAATCAAATAGTTCGAACAAAGGACATGTAATTATAAACACATAGGAATCATTAGTTCATAGGGAATGGGACTGAGGCTGCGGACCCAGGACTGAGGCTGCGGACCCAGGACTGAGGCTGTAGACCCAGGACTGAGGCTGTAGACCCAGGACTGAGGCTGTAGACCCAGGACTGAGGCTGTAGACCCAGGACTGAGACTGTATGGTACAGCTGAAGTCAAAATGATGACAGATAAAGCAGGAGACAGTGCTGTTACCAGACTTCTCCAGCAGGGGGCCCATGCATCTGTGGTTTAACTGCCCTCTCCTCTCCAAGCTCTACCTGCTCTCTAGCGGAACGCCCACTAAAACGTGCACGAGCCCTGTTCTCCTCGTGCACGCTCACACAAGCTCACTTTCCAAGAAGGTTTGCACTTTTTCCAAGATGCCAGACTTTCTAGACGTTGATCACTTTTCCTGGAAGTGATTTGAACAGGATTTCTCTAACTAGAATCCAAACAATGAGAGCAGTCTTAGTCTTGAAGATCCAAAATAGAAAGAAAATCCACATATGTATTTTTATGTTTGCATTTGTGATTCTTAGCTCCTTTTGTAGTCACTGACCCGGGAACAGAAATCTACCTCTTTGGGGCTTCTCATCCATTTGGTAAAAGCCCATAATTAAATAAAACTAGGGGTTCAAGGTGTTTTTAGTGCTCCTACATCAGGGGTCTCCAGCCTGTAGCTCAGGAGCCACCAGTAGCTCGCCACGCCCTTTCAGGTAGCTCCCCAATGGATTGAGAAATGAGCAAATCAACTAATATACTTTCAAATTGCATTATTAATTATTATTATGTATTATTATAAATGCACTTACTTTGTCGCTAGTATGGTGGCTGAGTGGTTAGCTCTCTTCCCTCAGCAAGAAGGTCCTGGGTTCGAATCCCGGTCGGAACAGGACCTTTCTGAGTGGAGTTTGCATGTTCTCCCCGTGTCTGCGTAGGTTTCCTCCGGGTACTCGGGTTTCCCCTAAAAACATGTACAATAGGTCTGTGCCTCCTGTACCGGCCCCTCCCATCTCTGTGTGGAGTCAGAGACTAATGCCCACAATCGTAAACCGCTTTGACTCTGGTCTGAGAAAAGCACTATGTAAATAAAGATTACGTACTTGTATTATGATTTATTATTATTATTTATTTTCATAAATGCACTTACTTTGTTGCTAGTAACAAATATGCAATGATAGAGAATGACTGAACCCAATATTAGGCTTTTTCACACCAATATATCCCCAAAGGCCGCTTAAAGGAGTACCTCTCTGTCTTTATCGTCCCAGGACAGTAGCTCTCTGTCTTTATCGTCCCAGGACAGTAGCTCTCTGGGTGAAACAGGTTGGAGACACCTGTCCTTCATCTTAGCAATGTACATTAATCTTTTCTATCTTTTATTCAAGTATTTATTGTGTTGCGCTGCATACAGAAATGACAATGGTTATGAAGCAGAAAATAAATGCACAAAACTATTAAAAAATGTAAATGGGTCTTCCCACACACAAACCCCCCTAACCCCTTATAATCCCTCCTTCCTGAGGGGAAGGAAGACATTAAAGGGTTAAGCCTGACCTTCAATGTAGAGACTGTGTCCAGAGTTTTGATAGTTTTGTGACTTTTATAAATGCAGGTGAAAGAACGACCTGTGGATGCACATTGCATAAATACTGTAAATATATAAATAACGCTCAGAGCTCGGTGTAACATAACATTTCCTCAAAATGATCTAACTGTAGTGTGTTCTTGTATAGTATTTGATGATGCTTTTATCTGTATGTTTGAATTTGTGTCTGTTTTACAAATAAACAATTAACTTAATGAAGTAAATGTGTGTCTCTGTTGTGTTGCATTATTACAGAAAAGGATTCAATTCAATGTATTTGTGTATCGCCCAAATCACAGCCATAGTTATCTCAGAGGACAATCTAACTCTGTAACCACACACTCAGTCTCAGATTAAAATGTCAACACTGGGACAATTCTGAAACTACTAGAGGGTTTCACTGCTCTCATTCAAACCACTGTAATTCTGAGAAATTAGCTCAAAAACGTTAGTATGATAATGTATATAAAGCAGCGTGTCATGTTTGGTCCAGTAAAATGACCTTTTTTCAGTATGTGCAGGCTTATGAGGCTATATTCAGTCTGTATTCGTAAGTATTTATCCCGTTTTTACCTATATTTGATTTTACTAATCACCGAAACTGGTGTAATTAACTTTAAATACTGAAAACAACAGTTGATGGAAAGGCTAATGCTAACGGCTATGGTGTTGCTATGGTAACTAGCACGCACCCTTCTCTGGTGGAAAACCAAACTGAACTGGGACCAGCACTTTAAAAGGAGCTTTAACTGCCATAACTGCCGTGTTATTAAAATCTATCTCTTCCTCTTTATCTGCTGTACGTCTGTATTTCGAGAGATGTTTATCAATTACAATCAAAAAGTTTTTTTTTAACAGTAAAATGGAAAAATAAAAATCATTGATGAATATTTCAGTAAAAATGTAGACAGCATCACACCCAGTCTGTCTGTGTTTGTGTGTGTACGTGCGTGCGTGCGTGTGTGTCTGTGTTTGTGTGCCTGTGCGTGTGTGTGCGTGCGTGTGCGTGCGTGTGTCTGTGTCTGTGCGTGTGTGCGTGTATATGTGTGTGTGTATGGGGCGAGTCCTTTAAGACTGGGTGAACCAGACTTTCCATTTGCTCTGACAACAGGCCCCGGTGCATCAGCTCCAGATTTCAGGTGAGGTTCTTTTCTTTCTATTTTTTTCATTCAATACAATTTATTCAATTCAATATATTCTTGTCTAGTCCTAAATCACAACTGTAGATTTAAGTATATAGCTATTCTCATATAAAAATAAAGCCTTTACAAGTATAATGTATTATTACTATTATCAAAGAAAAATTTAGCATTTAATAACTGTGTGTGTGTGTGCGTGTGGGTGAGCGTGTGTGTCTCTGAGGGATCTGAGACTCGCTCTGTGTAGACCCAGGACTGAGGCTGTAGACCCAGGACTGAGGATGTAGACCCAGGACTGAGGCTGTAGACCCAGGACTGTGGCTGTAGACCCAGGACTGAGGCTGTAGATCCAGGACTGAGGATGTAGATCAAGGATTGAGGATGTACAGCCTCAGTCATGGGTCCACAGCCTCAGTCCCGTTCCCTTTAGACCAATGGCTTCTATGTGTTTGTCATTATTGTATTTTCCTGCATTCGAAGAGTTTGATTTTCTAATCTGTTGTTGGTGAATCCACAACACATTTAATTGAACAGTTTGCAGTCAGAATGTTTCACATTTACACATGGTGGATATTGTCCTGTAGCCGCTTTAATACATATGATTCATTGAGAACACTAATAAACACTGTCCGGTTCTTTACTCATAGTTGTGCAGCCGTGAAGCCGCCTCACTCTCGGTGTTGTTCTGGTCCCTGATGACTCTGTGCTTTTTAAACCTGCTCCGTGGAGGATCACAGACCTGGGGACGTGTTTACAGTGGAAACATGTGGACTGAGTGACCCTCACACCTCCGGGAACTGGCTCAGCATCAGACACTAACTCACCGGTGAGAACTGAGAGAACTGCATTATGGGACTTAGGGGACACATGTGACATCACAACTGTCACTATCATTGTATTTTAATTCAGCTGGAGGTCGTTTGATGCATGTATTTTATACAGCTATTTTCATCATTAATCCACAATGGTGATACACGAGTACTGTAGCCACAGCTGCCCTGGGGCACACTGAGCGAGGCAACACCACACACACACTAACCAGGCTGGGCTCTGCTGGATCTGGCTTTCACCTGCAGAGGGCGCCACATTGAAGTCTCCTGGTCTCCTCCTGGTGGGACATGGCCAGAACACCTCCTCAGGAAGGAGACCAGGAGGAGACCAGGAGGCATCCCAAACAGATTAGCCACCTCCACTATAGCTCTGCTTCCAAGTGGAGGAGCAGTGGCTCCACTCCGAGCTCCTCCTTTGTGACCACTTGTAGCCAGGATCTCGTCCTTTGGGTCAATAACAGTATATTTAACTGTATATATAGTACACACATAGGTAGGGTTGTCCTGTAGTTACCATAGTAACGAGCCTCCTCTCATCCTCAGGTCTGTGTTTCCTGGACACTTTAAGGATGTTCTGCTTCAAAGGGAGAAAGTGTTCTCTGCTCCTCAGGGTTTCTCTGCTCTGGGTCTTTCTGACAAACGTCATGGTTCTGCTTTATCACTTCTCAGACCTGCCTCACTCCAGGTGACTCAACATCAACATGAAAATAAAGTTATGATGAATGACACGTTAGCATGTGATACTACTGTACATGTTAGCATGTGACGCTGCTGTACATGTTAGCATGTGATACTACTGTACATGTTAGCATGTGACGCTGCTGTACATGTTAGCATGTGATACTACTGTACATGTTAGCATGTGATACTACTGTACATGTTAGCATGTGTTGCTACTGTACATGTCAGCGTGTGATGCTACTCTCTCCTACAGAGATCTGAGGGAGCAGACGTGCAGCAGGTCCGGGCCTCATAGAGACGTCGAGGCCTCGCTGGAGCAGAACAGCAGCTGTTCGCCAAAACTGAACGTGATGTTCATGAAGACGCACAAAACGGCGAGCAGCACGATCCTCAACATCCTCTTCAGGTTCGGGGAAAAGCACGGCCTCAGGTTTGCTTTCCCCGACGGACGCAACGACTTCTTCTACCCGTCTCCGTTCTCCTGCTCTCAGGTCAAAGGTTACAAACCTGGAGACTGCTTCAACATCCTGTGCAACCACATGCGCTTCGACATCACAGAGGTGTCCAAACTTCTGCCTGCGGACGCTGCCTACATCACCATCCTGCGTGACCCCGTGAGCCTGTTCGAGTCCTCCTTCCACTACTACCATCGAGCCGTGCCTCTGACCTGGAGGATCTCACACCGCGACAAGCTCGCCCAGTTCCTGCACGACCCCCAAGCCTTCTACAGCAAAGACGCCTTCAACTCCTTCTACCTGAAGAACCTTCTGTTCTTTGATTTTGGCTTCGACAACAATCTCAGCGTGGATGATCCTAAAGTGACAGACGCCATCTCGAGCCTGTCCAACAGCTTCCACCTGGTGCTTCTGGCCGAGCACTTCGAGGAGTCGCTGATCCTCCTGAAGGAGCTGCTGTGCTGGACCATGGACGATGTTCTCTACTTCAAACTCAACGCTCGCCGCAGCTCTTCTGTGTCTGTTCTCTCTCCAGAATTGAGGGAGAAGGCTCTGCAGTGGAACGCCTTGGACTGGAAGCTGTACCAGCATTTCAACACCAGCTTCTGGCTAAGGGTGGAGGCCTACGGCAGGGAGAGGATGGGGGCCGAGGTGGAGGAGCTGAGGAGGAGGAACGCAGAGATGCGGGCTCGGTGTGTGGAGGGGGGAGGGGCGGTGGAGGCGGGACACATCCAGGACAGACGCTTCTTGCCCTGGCAGCCCGTGGGAGAGGCCTCCATCCTGGGGTACAACCTGAGGACGGACGTGGAGCCACGGGACCAGCAGCTGTGCCAGAGGATGCTCACTCCTGAGATCCAGTACATGTCAGAGCTGGGGGTCAACCTGTGGCTCACCAGACTGTGGGGGTGGGTGAAGGACATGGCTACAGGACATGTTTAATGAGTGTGTGTGTGTGAGTGTGTGTGTAACATGTGACTGTGTGTTTACTGAAACTGGGTGCTGTTCCATGCAGTATTTCAACACAAACATTACTGTTTATTATATAATATTTTATAATCAACTGCACTGATTAACTATGGTCTGTTTTTACTACATGTTTTTTCAGTTTTTAATGGTGTCATTCTGAAGCCCTGTTTCCACTCTCTCTACTCTACTCTCCCCTAATTGGGAGTGTTTCCTCTGGTCCTATGTAACCAGTACCAAGTCCTTCTTTAGTCCCTCTTGGTTCTGGCTCTATCCAGGCCGAGCTGGTGCTAAAGTGTTCTAACTGACAGTGATTGGCCAGGGTGCTGCTGGAAGCCATGGTTACCAATGAATTTCCCTTAATACCAGTTTGTTGTGGGTCAGTTACTATGGCACAATGCATTATACCAAAGTGTAATGGAAACACAACCTAGAGTAGAGTATGGAACAGTCTAAAGTCTGATCTCATAAACTCAGCGAGGCCTCGTTAAAAAAGAGGAAACGTACAATATTGTTGAAAACGTCATTAATTTATATAATTTTTCAACTTAAACTGTGATGGAGGCAGTTTACTACAGAGCAGGGGTGTCCAGACTTTCTAGTGAGAGGGCCACTTTGGTTCACGGACTGAGCATTCTGTTGATAAATGAGACATGTCTGAGCTGAATGAAAAACACAAAGCTTTGTGAGTCACAGATAAAGTTGTGCCATGATCACAAACACACACACTTTAATCAACGTCAAAGACAGAACTGAAGAGATCCTTTGTTTGTCCCACAGTGGGGAAATTTCAGTGTTGAAGCGCACAGACAGGACCGTAGTAAGAGCACACAGGGAGCATACAAAATAGTAGCTATGTTTCTTAACTAGCTGTAAATGCTTCAGTCTTTCAAAAGTGTAGAAGGAGAGGGAGGGAGGGCTCAAAAGTTGTTAGAAGCCAGTGCCTTTCTGGTGGAGCAAGTAAAATATCTTTATAGGAGAGTTCTGGTTTTATTCCTCCAGTGTGTTTCTTGGTGCTGTTTTCATCAGACCTTCTAGGAACAGAATGAAGAGGTCTGAGCTTCATTATCTTTGTTCATCTTAATTTACAAAGTAGTGCTATACTTGATATTCTCTATTCTTGTGCTGTGTGCTCATTCTACTGTTCTGTAGCCGGATATTTCCCCACAAATAAAGGATCTCTTAACCATGATATCTGTACCTGATATCATGAAGATGGCTGGATGACACTGAAAGTATACTTATACATAAAAGTTTGACAATATTTCTGGACAGTGGTGATCCCGCTCCCTTTGGGACAATGACATGTGTTTATTATTGCATTTCTTGTGTGGTTAATTAATTTAATGTTTTTGTTATCAGCCCAAAGCCTCAGTTTTCACGTCCGTCATATTTGATAAGAGACAAAAGCCTGTGATTGTTGATTGACTAATCCAATTATGAACAAATAAAAGATATTTCTCTTCTGTAATGAGTCATGCCTTAGTTTCACATCGTAAGTTTAAATACAGGGTTAAATGGACTCACTTTGGTTATTACTTTCAGTGATGAGAACTCCAGGAACCTTAAGCTAAGCACTCAGACTCTGACGTGAGCAAGAATAGTGGTCGGAGAGGCTGATGGTCCAGATCAGCCTGTGCCAATGGTGAGTGGATGTCAAGAGCTTTTGGCACCATTTAAAAATCCAATTTCAGGTCACATGGTTCAGAGGAAACTCATGGCGCTTGTATCTGATCTCGTTCTTTCCGTCATTACCGTGGATATATTATTACCCAAAGCTCAAGACCAGGAGTGAGGGAGGAGACACTGCTCTGAATGCAGACGCTGCTCCCTTCTCATCCTTCCCTCACTCATGACCCCAGAATGACGTGAACTCCTCCACTCATATTGTGTGTGTGTGTAGAAAAACCACATGCATTCATAAGATAAAGATTTAATTTACAACGGACACATCTTGTACATCAACAGCGAGAAAATGAAGCAACCGTGGGGGTCGAGAGGTCTGGGGCAGATGTGGCTCTGGGTCTGAGACAAGTCTTTTTCTGAGCTCCAGGACACGTCCAGAAACTGAGGAGGATGTTTGGCCCCAGAGGACTCCGAGCGGCGTCCTATTCCTCTTCATTACTCTCGTAGTTGTGTTGTATGTGTTTCCAAAGTTTCTACAATATAAAGAAAAAAATAGTTATTCTCTGAACTGTTGAGATGACTGTAGTCTAAAGGTGCACTTTGTTTCATCCTCTGCATTTGACCCAGGTCCCCATGCTGCTAAGGCTTCCATCAGGAACAGTGGTCGCCGTAGTAACAGCGCCCGGGAACCCATCTCCAGATGTTGATGCTCAACTTGGTCAGGGCCAGAGCTGGAGGATTTGACATAATATTGTGCATGTTTTTAGTCTGTCTCCTGCTCTCCGTGTCGTTGTTGAACTGATGCCAACATTGGTTAAAAGTTTACTGTTGGAACAATTCCCAGTGTTTGTATGGTTTTAGACCCAGCAAACTTCAGCAGCTCACCTCAGAATCTGTCACTGGTCACTACACCCTGTGCACTAGAGACCTACGGCCTTCAACCTTCACAAAACATTACAGACTTATACAAAAATTCCTGTCTGGTATTGTGTGTATGTGTGTGATCATGTATCCATCAAATTCTGTTTTACTGTTCACCGATATCTTTTGATTGTACATTCCATTTTAATACAAAAAACACTATATATTTAGAACCTTTTTAACATATTTACACAATAGCTGAATTTTAGCACAACTTGAGTGAATATTATTATCCATTGTGAGATCAATCACGTTTATCTTATTTTTGAGCTGTCCCAGAGGTCTTAACAACCTGACCAGACTGGGTGTTAGCTCTCCTGCTACAACCTGGTAGCTAATGTCGGCTAATGTTTTTTGTGCTCAGTCCCTGCAGTAAAATCACAGCAGAGTATATCGTTATAAATACCAGCTCAGTTCGAACATAATTGCACAAAAGGATTCGTATTAAACCAATCAAACACAACAGAAAAGACCGATACGATGCTGTGTTGACTGGCGTTAGCATTAGCATTAGCTCGCCCTCCTGAAGGTCATGTAAAATGGACTCTCTTTACCCCACGGTTCATCGACTCGAACACAAAGTCTCCTCCGTGGTCGAACACCCGCTCGAAGAACACGGCTCCGACCATGATGGTGATGGCGAAGGTGGAGGTCCTCCTGAAGAGCAGGTTATACGCGGACTTGGTCAGCGACATGTTGGATAAGACCAGGCAGACACACGTCTTCACTTCCGGTGTGTTCGCTGCGCCTCACGTTGGTCATGAAGAGTACTGCAGGTGGTTAATCCTCGGAGAACATCTGTATAATACATTCATAACATTGAATTATGTTTAACAATAATTCCTGACTTTTTTTTAGATTAAAAGCATCTGATCTGAAAGCCTGTTTGGACACTATCGAAAAAAACTAGCATACAATAAATTAATTCGAACAATCACATTGAAAACAAATTAAAACATATATTATTAGAGTTGATTTGTAGACCCCTGTATGTATCTGTGCGTCAATAATATGGTCAATAAGCATAAAAAATAAAACATCACACTGCGCATGCGCGGGAAACCTCACATCCGCTCTGCTTCCGTGTTTACTTTGACTACAGCATGGATCTGTTGTGTTTCTGTCTGTAAAATTTACTATCAGGGAGAAAGATATCAGTCCGAGTAGGGAAAGAGTGTAGCTCAAAGTTTGAGGTTGAAAATGGCACGCCGCAGGGCAGCATTGTAAGTCCAGTATTATTTACAATTATGATAAATGAAATTTTTTGTGACATTGAGTCATCAATTGGAGTGTCACTGTTTGCGGACGATGGTATAGTGTGGAAAAGGGGGAAAAATGTACGGTATATTGTTAAAAAGTTGCAAGAAGCTATCGGGATGGTTGAAGCCTGGTCAACAAAATGGGGTTTCAGATTTTCAGTGAGTAAAACAAAAGTCATGTTTTTTTACCAGGAAAAGAGTGGGAGATGACATTAATCTTACTTTATATGGGAAGAATCTTGAACGAGTGAATGAGTTTAAGTACTTAGGGTTAGTGTTTGATAGTAAGTTGACATGGGCAGCCCATATTAATAAGGTAATAGAGAAGTGCAAAAAGGTGATGAACGTAATGAGGTGTCTTAGAGGACGGGACTGGGGAGCTAGTCGGAATTGTATTAAAACTGTGTATGTGGCGTTAATCAGGTCTGCTTTAGACTTTGGATGTGTGGTATACGGCTCTGCGGCAAAAAGTAATTTAAAGAAGCTAGATGTTGTACAATGTAAAGCCTTGAGATTATGTTGTGGGGCTGCAAGATCCACTCCAGTCTCTGCACTGCAGGTGGAGATGAATGAGATGCCTCTGAAGTTTAGGAGATTGCAGTTGACCTTAGTGTATTGGGCCAATTTGCAGGGGAGCAGTAGAGATCATCCTTGTCAGAGAAGTTTAAAACCAACTCAGGAGAGGGAAAGAGCGCAACTGGCCAGTTTTGGCTGGGTAATAGAGGAGGCGGTGGAGAATGCAGGACTAAGAAATCTAGAGGTATGTCCTGTAGTCCCAAGTTCTGCTGTCCCTCCGTGGGAATTATTGGAGCCTCATGTGGATTTAACTCTTTTGAAGAAAAAGAACTATAATAATAACAATGTAGAGATGTACATCTGGGAGAAGTTTTATGAGCATCTAGAGATTTATACTGATGCATCAAAAATGGAGGATGGGAGAGTGGGCGTTGCTGTAGTAATCCCTAAATTGGGAATAAACACCTGTAAAAGAACAAGTGATAACTTGGCAGTCTACACAGCAGAGCTGGTGGCTTTGTTATTGGCCATGATTTGGATTGAAGAAAATGCGACAGTAGTAACTAAGGTAGTGGTAGCGTCTGATTCCAGTAGTGCGCTGTCAAGTATTAAAAGTTTGGTGTCAGAATCGAGACAGGATTTAGTTTTTGAGATAGCACTAATAATGCAAAGGTTAAAGAGAGCAGGGAAACAAGTGGTGTTATTATGGGTACCAGCGCATATAGGGGTAAGAGGGAATGAGATGGCGGACAGATACGCTAAAAAGGGCGCAAGGAGTGGGGCTCTGGATTTCCCTGTTAGAATAAGCAAGGCAGAAGTGAAAAGTCTTATCAAAGTTAGAATTAAAGAGATGTGGCAGAGAAGCTGGGAGGAGGAGGATAAAGGACGGTTTTATTTTAATGTGCAACATCAAGTGGGACAAGAGGTAATAGGAGGAGAATTCAGCCGGAGAGAGGAAGACGTGATAACACGACTGAAATTAGGACATACCTACTTGAACGGTACATTAAGTTTAATGGGAAAACATCCGACTGGACAATGTGAGCACTGTGGAGGCAGAGAAACTGTTGAGCATGTCCTTATGGAATGTGTAAGATACAGAAGACCAAGAGAGTTGCTTAAGATCTATGTGAATGGGCACAACAGAACATTTTCCTTAAAAGAAGTATTGAGTGGGTGTAGTTCGGTAGGGGGGGTTAGAGTAGTTTTGCGTTTCCTTCGAAGCGCAGGGTTATTCTTTAGAATATAGAAGACTGAAGGACTGAAGGGGCCGTCCTGGCCCACACTCCATTTCGGAAGGTGGCGGTAATGCACCTCAAGGTTGTTTGCCAACCGCCAATAAACCTCAATAGAAGAAGAAGAAGAAGAAAATTTACTATAGATCACGGTTAATGCTCTGACCGGACACGTGGTTTTGTTTTTGTTACGGGAAATATACCGATCGGTGTTGGTGCTAATGTGTCTCTGATCAAGGTAACTGTGCCTTTTCATGTTTAAGACTTAGACGGTTCTAAATAAGTAGTTAAATAACTGTTAAGACAATTAAACATTCGGGTAATTACAACTACAACAACAACATTTCTTTGTCTCTCTCTGTGGTATCTCTGTGGTCTCTCTCTCTAATCTGTTTCTCTAGTCTCTCTCACTGATCTTCCTCTGGTCTCTGGCCTCTCTCTCTCTGGTCTCTCAAATACCTCTCTTTGTTTTCAGCCGGAGCGTGACGTCATGGGGAAGAGATATTACTGTGATTACTGCGACCGTTCCTTCCAGAGCACCCTCCCCAACATCAAGAAACACGTGAATGGAGTCCAGCACCATCGAGCCAAGAAGGCCTGGTTCGACAACTTCAGAGGTGACGCCTTTACAACACTGTAACATCCAAAACATATTAAACCAAACGTTTTTTCTGGAACATTCTTCAGACGCAGCAACGATTCTCACCGAGGAACAAGCAAAGAAACGCTGCAGGACTTTTCTCCAGAACGGTACCTTCTCCTGCAGACTCCTGGTTCATACGGAACAAACAGCTCATCGCGATCCTTTTCTGTTTCAGGAGTTTGTGATTTTGGATCCACTTGTAGGTTTTCTCACATGACGGATGAAGACTTCAGTCGTCTTCGTCAGCAGGCCACAGGTATTCGTGTTGAGCTTTTGTACTTATTGGACGATAATCCACTTCTTTGTGTTCAGGGATTCACCAAACTTTTATTCAAGGTCTGTGTGGTCTCTCTCTGGTCTCTTTCTCTGGTCTCCCTCTAGTCTTTCTCTCTGGTCTCCCTCTAGTCTCTCTCTCTGGTCTCCCTCTAGTCTCTCTCTGGTCTCCCTCTGGTTTCTCTCTCTGGTCTCTCTCTCTGGTCTCCCTCTGGTCTCTCTCTCTGGTTTCTCTCTGGTCTTCCTCTGGTCTCTGTCTGGTCTCCCTCTGGTCTCTCTTTCAGGTTTCTCTTTCTGTTCTCTCTCTCTGGTCTCCCTCTGGTCTCTCTCTCTTGTCTCTCTCTCTGGTCTCTCTCTCTGGTCTCTCTCTCTGGTCTCTCTCCCTGGTCTCTCTCTCTGGTACTGTGGAGTAGTGTGGCTGTAGGTTTTCTATCAGACCAAACAGGAGCAGAGCAGACTCCGCCCACTTCAGGTTCAGACTGACCTCACTGGAGGAAGTGGGAGGAGTCTGCTCTGCTCCTGTTTGGTCGGATAGAAAACCTGCAGCCACACAGCCTTCGAGAAGTTTGGAGTTAGTTACTTGAGCAGCCAATATCCATCCATCCATCTCCTGCTTTATCTGTTGCTGGTTTGGCAGTAGTCTCCCCCCAGTGGGACCACCTCATCTGGCTCCTTTCCATGTGGAGGAGCAGAGGGTCTCTCCGAGCTCCTCCTGTCTGACAGAGCTCCCTCACCCTATTTATTGATGTGTTTGTTCGAGTTAGCACTTATTAGCTGTTATTAGTAAGGGCTAATCTAGACGCTAATGTAGCTCACAGTTGATGAACAGCTGCTTAAAGGAGCAGTCTGTAAAAATGTGGCCAAAAGTGGTACTGCAGCCTCTCCCACTCTCCCTGACTCAGGTTGCCAGATATGCAGATGAATCCAGCAGGGACCATAACAGCTGAATAGGCAAGAGTTTTGTCAACAACAAATCTATAACCAACACCTTTTTCACAAATATATAAATCCTGGTTTGATTCCTTGTTTTGTCGTTAATGATTTGAGAATCATAACAAGACCTTTTTTAGTTCTGCGCCACATGGTACTTTACCAGTGAGATTAGTGAAAACGGTGGATGGAGGGACATCGAAATGAAAACAATAACAAGATTTAGGGGCTGGAAAACGAATTTAGAAATTCTAATATCTCCGAACTACTGTTATCAGTTAAAGAAGTATTGGAAAAGAGCAGTTTATTATTATGACAGATTAGGGCCCTTTAATGATGACAGATTAGGGTTTTTTAATGATGACAGATTAGGGCACTTTAATGATGACAGATTAGGGCCCTTTTATGATGACAGATTAGGGCCCTTTAATGATGACAGATTAGGGCCCTTTAATGATGACAGATTAGGGCCCTTTAATGAAGACTTGACATGAAAATCTTACATTGTGCTGTGTTCCGTGTTTCTTTCCCTGCTGTGGGTTTAAGGTTCTTTCCTGTTTCCTCAGGTGAAAACCCGCTCCAAGACCAGTTTAAGGACAGCATTTTAGCCAAGAGAAGCCTGGAGGACTGGCTGTCGAGACGCGAGCAGAAAACCAACTCTCTCTGTAGCAAAGAGTACGGACCCTTTTTCTCCTGGTTCAGCGTCGCAGCCCTCGCTCTGGTCATTTACGGTCTTTTGTGTGTGTTTGTGTTCCTCCACAGAGACACCAGGACAGACTTGGACTTCCCAGAGGAGAGTGTGATTCCTTTGGAGCTCCTCCGTGTCCCGGACCTGCCTCCCTCTCTGCAGTCCCCTCCTCCTGGGGGTTGGCGGGCCAGCGGGGGCTCGGGCTGGGGTTGATTATGTGAAATATAAGTTTGTGTTTCCAGTTATTGTTATTATTTTTTTGCAAAGACTCAATTTTGGTCTGTCCCTTCACAGGCGAGGTTATTTGTATATAATGAGTATTTTAGTCTAAAGCTCCCCTCCGTACAACTAATAAATGTTCTTTCATCTCATCTTGTTTTTATCTTTATCTCTAGCACCGTCCATACACAGGGACTCAGTGATCACAACATACCATCAATCATGTGTTATTGAGCTGAATTTTATTGATTCATCCTAACCTGTCTCTCTCTGTGTTCTCCAACTGGTCTCTCTCTCTGGTCTCTCTCTGGTCTCCCTGGTTTCCCTCTAGTCTCTCTCTGGTCTCCCCAAGGCTCTCTTTTTAGTCTCCCTCTGGTCTCTCTCTCTGGTCTCTCTCTGGTCTCCCTGGTTTCCCTCTAGTCTCTCTCTGGTCTCCCCTAGGCTCTCTTTTTAGTCTCCCTCTGGTCTCTCTCTGGTCTCCCTGGTTTCCCTCTAGTCTCTCTCTGGTCTCCCCTAGGCTCTCTCTTTAGTCTCTCCCTCTGGTCCCTCCCTAGTCTCTCTCTCTCTGGTCTCCCTCTGGTCTCTCTCTGGTCTCTCTCTTTGGTCTCTCCCTCTGGTCCCTCCCTAGTCTCTCTCTCTCTGGTCTCCCTCTGGTCTCTCTCTGGTCTCTCTCTGGTGTTGTGTGGTGCTGTTGTGTTGTTACTTTGTTGCTCATGAAATCAGAAAAACCAAATGAACAACAAAGTGTTTTATTGCAGAACATGCGTCACAGTTTTACATTTGTATCATTTACACTTTAACTTTTAACGGATCACAGCTTCAGGAACAAGGAGCACACACAGGCCCTGTCCCCACCAACTCTACTCTATAATACTACTCTACTAGAGCAGAGCAGAGCAGAGTAGAGTAGAGTAGAGTAGAGTAGAGTAGAGTAGAGTAGAGTAGAGTAGAGTAGAGTAGAGTAGAGTAGAGTAGAGTAGAGTAGAGTAGAGTAGAGTAGAGTAGAGTAGAGTAGAGTAGAGTAGAGTAGAGCAGAGCAGAGCTGGTGGAAACAGGACGATGACGTAGAGAACAAAGGCACAGAGCGGGTGATAAACATGTGGAGGGTTAAAAACAGACGCAGGTCACAGAGATGTGACATCACATGCTCCACAGAACAACACAAACAGTGTTTATTGCCAGATTGAGTCGGACCCTCTTCTTCCAGAACAGGTAAAAAAAGTGCAAGAAAAATATATTTTTAAAATTATAAATAAAGACATTGAAAAAATAGTAGTTTGTGATTTGAAGCAAACGACAAACTCAGGTCTTTTTTTGCTTTTCTTTTGTTGTTTTCTTATAAAACTATGTTTACATTTGTCATAAAATCACAGATTTAAACATGAGGCTTTGGAGTAAAAATATAGACAATAAAATATCAACAGATGTTTCTCAAACCACTGGACACGAAACATGACCACGCCCAGCTTCAAACTGAGATGGAGAGCAAGGTACTACAGGTACTACAAGTACTACTGCAGGTACTACAGGTACTACAACAGGTACTACTGCAGGTACTACAGGTACTACAGCAGGTACTACTGCAGGTACTACAGGTACTACAACAGGTACTACTGCAGGTACTACAGGTACTACAACAGGTACTACAGCAGGTACTACTGCAGGTACTACAGGTACTACAACAGGTACTACAGGTACTACAACAGGTACTACTGCAGGTACTACAGGTACTACAACAGGTACTACAGCAGGTACTACTGCAGGTACTACAGGTACTACTGCAGGTACTACAGGTACTACAGCAGGTACTACAGCAGGTACTACTGCAGGTACTACAGCAGGTACTACCGGTACTACAACAGGTACTACAGGTTCTACTGCCGGCACTACAGGTGCTACAGGTACTACAACAGGTACTACAGGTACTACAGGTACTACAGTTACTACAGCAGGTACTACTGCAGGTACTACCGGTACTACAACAGGTACTACAAGTACTACTGTCGGTACTACAGCAGGTACTACTGTAGGTACTACAGCAGGTATTGCATGTACTACTGAGGGCCATAAGAGAGAAGAGTAAGACCAGAGAGACAGAGAGGGAAGCGTGAGACCAGAGAAAAACCAGAGAGAAACCAGAGATAGATAAGAGAAGAGTGAGACCAAAGGAAGACCGGAGTGAGACCAGAGGAAGACCAGAGTGAGACCAGAGAGAGAGAGAAGAGTGAGAACAGAGTTAGACCAGAGTGAGACCAGAGTCAAAGTCTGTTCCAGATACAAATTGCATATTTTGGTGAAGCTGAAGCTGAACATCACAGAGAGGCTCCCGCCTGCAGGGGGCGCCAAAAGACCTGCTCAACCTCAAAGCAAATAGTTTGAAACAGAAAAAGACATCATATGAATTAGATATAGCTTTTTAACCACGGAAGTAACGTTCCTCATTTTAGATGATTATGTGACTAGTCTCCTGTCCTCCATCTCAGACTATGACATTTATACATTTGCATATAATTTAAACATTTACAGCAGAAATACAAGAATTCATCTGAACAGACATTTATTTGTTCATGCAGCTTTGTGTGGAGTGAAACCTCCACTTTCACAGACACACAACAAACACACAACACAAGATCTAGTTTCACTACAATCCTGGTTTATTCACAGCTGTCACGGAGGGTGTGTGCGTGTGTGTGTGCGTGTGTGTGTGCGTGTGTGTGTGCACGAAGTGTCTGTGTGAGAGTGTAGTATGCGTGAGTTGAGTGTGTGTGTGTGTGCGTGTGTGTGTGCGTGTGTGTGTGCACGAAGTGTCTGTGTGAGAGTGTAGTATGCGTGAGTTGAGTGTGTGTGTGTGTGTGTGGGTGAGTGTAGTTTGAGTGTATGCCGTTTATGTGTGGGTGTCTTTTGTAGTGTTTCTGTAGTGCAGTGTATGTGCGTGCATGTGTGTGTCTCTCTATGTGTAGTGTGTGCATGAAGTGTCTGTCTGTGAGAGAGTAGTTTGTGTGAGTGCATCATCTCTGTGTGTGTGGGTGTAGTTTGAGTGTATGTACTGTAGTTTGTGTGTGTGGGTGTCTTTTGTAGTGTTTCTGTAGTGTGGTGTGTGTGTGTGTGTGCATAAAGTTTGAGTGTATGTGTGTGCATGTGTGTGTGTCTCTCTTTGTGTGGTTGTATACGTAGTTTGTGTTTCTGTAGTGTAGTGTCTGTGTGTGCATGTGCTTGCGTGTAGGCTACATTAGCATTAGCATTAGCATACACGGCATTAGCACAGTCATTGCTCACGTTTCTTTGGAGCTAGTATGTTACAGAACTCGCTGGACTATAAGCCTCGACTTTTACATAGAGCTGTCGATCTCTGGAGCAGATGCCGTGCCACACATTCCTGCTGCGGTGTGTTTATGTGAACAGCAGAGAGATACGGGGAAGAGCAGTGTAACTGTGATCAGGGCTGATGTCAGAGAAGAGAGTATGGACTATGGAGTATTGGGTCTAATTCTCAGTCCTAGGTCTACAGCCTCAGTCCTGGGTCTACAGCCTCAGTCCTGGGTCTACAGCCTCAGTCTTGGGTCTACAGCCTCAGTCTTGGGTCTACCGCCTCAGTCCTGGGTCTACAGCCTCAGTCTTGGGTCTACCGCCTCAGTCCTGGATCTACAGCCTCAGTCCTGGGTCTACAGCCTCAGTCCTGGGTCTACAGCCTCAGTCCTGGGTCTACAGCCTCAGTCCTGGATCTACATCCTCAGTCCTGGGTCTACAGCCTCAGTCCTGGGTCTACAGCCTCAGTCCTGGGTCTACAGCCTCAGTCCTGGGTCTACAGCCTCAGTCCTGGGTCTACAGCCTCAGTCCTGGGTCTACAGCCTCAGTCCTGGATCTACATCCTCAGTCCTGGGTCTACAGCCTCAGTCCTGGGTCTACAGCCTCAGTCCTGGGTCTACAGCCTCAGTCCTGGGTCTACAGCCTCAGTCCTGGATCTACATCCTCAGTCCTAGGTCTACAGCCTTTGTTATTATTGCATTTGATTTTCTGATCTGTTGTTGGTAAATCCACAACCTTCAAGTCCTCAGAGATGACCGCTGCTGTGACTGAGGTGCTTGATAGTCCAGTGAGTGCTGAGGTGCTTGATAGTCTAGTGAGTGCCGGTCTCTCACCTGGTCCTCCTGAAAACCCTGTATAAAGCTTGTCATTGTGAAGTGGAGCCTGACACTTTCTACTCTGAAGTCTCCACATTTTGAATGGCGTTCTTAGACATTACCCCAAATACGTTTTGTTTTCCACCAGATTAGTAAAAAGTAAGTCTAATATTCTTAATTCATTTCCTTTTACCTTTAGTCACTGTTACTAAGAGCTAAAATTGGTGAATATTTGCTGAAATACACAATTTAAAGCAGTTTTTTAAAAGGCCAATGCTAACTGCGACAATAAACACTGTGTTGCTATGGTAACTCTTGCCACTTCTCTGGTGGAAAACCAAGCAGAACCAGGACAAGACCAGGACCATAGCAGGACCAGACCAGGAGCAGTCTAGAAGCAGTCCAGTACCTGTCCAGGACCAGTCAAGGACCATACTACAACCAGACCAGGACCAGACCAGGAGCAGACTAGTCCATTACCTTGACATGTTACGACAGTATACTTCCGTCTTCCACACAAGGTAATAACATCGATATCTTACTGTTTGTCTGGTAAAGAAGAACCAAATAACTAGCTAAATATATCTTGCATTGTTAAAGACTGTTTATGTTCCACGTTCTGGTTAATCCCAGTTTCTCTCTCTCGCCGCTCTCTCTCCAGGCCGTAGTTTGAGTGTGTGACATCTTGGGAAACTGCTACTACTCTGCTACTGCTGCTATTGTTGTGGGGAAAGTCCATTAAAGCTGAGGTCCTCACTTCAAGTCCTCACTTTGTTCTCTGTGGACTCCCTCGCCTCTCTCTGGTCTGACTTGGTCTCTCGGGTCTCTCTCTGGTGTCACTCTGGTCTCTCTGTAGTATCTTTCTCTGGTCTCTCTCTGATCTCTCCATCTGGTCTCTCTTTGGTCTTTCTCTCTCTGGTCTCTCTCTGGTCTTCCTCTCTCTAGCCTCTCTCTGGTCTCTCTCCGGTCTCTCTCTCTGGTCTCTCTCTGGTATCTCTCTGGTCTCTCTCTGGTCTCTCTTTGGTCTCTCTCTCTGGTCTCTCTCTGGTATCTCTCTGGTATCTCTCTGGTCTCTCTTTGGTCTCTCTCTCTGATCTCTCTCTGGCCTCTCTCTGGTCTCTCTTTCCAGTCTCTCTTTGGTCTCTCTCTCTGGTATCTCTCTGGTCTCTCTTTGGTCTCTCTTTGGTCTCTCTCTCTGGTCTCTCTCGAGTCTCTCTCTCTGGTCTCTCTCTGCTCTCCCTCTGGTCTCTCTCTGCTCTCTCTGGTCTCTCTTTGCTCTCCCTCTGGTCTCTCTCTGCTCTCTTTGGTCTCTCTCTGGTCTCTCTCTCTCTGGTGTCACTCTGGTCTCTCTCTCTAGTTTTAACTATAGTTTTAGTGCATGGCATCTTGGATTTTGATCCTAAATGGTTGGTGCTACTTGGAGCTGCTACTGCTGCTGTGGTCCAGGTCTGTCCAAAGCTGGGGTCCTCATCAAAGCGTCTGATTGGCTGGTGTCCTCACTTCATCCCGCGGCGGAGCATCTGATTGGCTGCGATGAGCATGACGCTGATGATGAAGGCGATGGCGAAGGCACAGATCAGACTCTTGCGAACGCACGTGTGTTTCTCCTGCTGCGTGGGGCTGGCTGCAGGTTAGCACAGGAGGCACGGGTTAGCATGGGTTTGCACGGGTCAACACAGGTTAGCACAAGAGGCACGGGTTAGAATGGGTTAGCACGGGTCAACACAGGCTAGCACAGGAGGCACGGGTTAGCATGGGTCAGCACAGGCTAGCAGAGGTCAGTACAGGTTAGCTCCAATCTCAGGCCCACAGCCTCAGTCTGGGTCTACAGCCTCAGTCGCGGGGCCTACAGCCTCAGTCCTGGATCTACAGTCTCAGTCCTGGGTCTACAGCCTCAGTCCTGGGTCTACAGCCTCAGTCCTGGGTCTACAGTCTCAGTCCTGGATCTACAGCCTCAGTCCTGGGTCTACAGCCTCAGTCCTGGGTCTACAGCCTGAGTCCTGGACCTCAGACTTACTGTCTATGTCCACGTGGCTCTCTGGGCTGTTGAGATGGTTCTCTTCTGTCATGATGATGTGTTCGATGTCCTTCATGGTCAGATGGTCTCGAAACGTGTCGTACAGAAGCCTCTTCAGCTCGTCCACCGTCAGCTTCTGCATGTCGCACTGAACCAGAAGAGACCAAGAAGAAGACTTAAACCAGGAGCAAAGAAGGAGACCATTAAAGCAGACACTGTTCTACTGTTGAACCATCAAAAAAATGATCATTGTTTGCAGGTTCTGAAGAAACATTTGCTCCTAGAAACCTTTCTGCTTTCAAGTTGGACCAGAGAGAAACAAGAGAGAGAGACCAGAGATGGACCAGAGAGAAACAAGAGAGCTCACTGCTCTGCCGTGGGGAAGCCCCGCCCCTCTTGTCGTGGAGGTGGCCTGGCTGTTGTGTATAAGGACAGTTGTCCATGTAAAGTGACACAGACCCAGGAATTTACCTCATTTGAGTCCCAGATGGTCAAGGTGGGCTCTTCAAACTCATTTCACTGTGTGTCAATGTACCGTCCCCCCGGTCCTGCTAATGTGTTTTTGAAAGATTTTAGTGACTTTTTATCCTCCATTATTCATTTGGATTCTGTTTTAATCCTTGGAGATTTTAACTTTCATGTTGATAATAGCACATCTTGCTCCGCAATGGAACTTTTGTCATTGACTGAAGCTTTCAATTTTGAGCAACATGTTTCTGATCCCACGCACAAGAAAGGCCACATTTTAGATGTTGTTTTTACACTTGGCCTCGACATTTCCAATGTGTCTGTCCATGATGTCCATTTGAGTGATCATTGTCTTGTTTTATTGGATCTGCACTTTAGCCCGGAACCTAAGCCTGCAGAAGTCAGGTCCCTGAGGCGCATTATTTCTACCGATGCTGCTGATGGTTTCTCTGCTTTGTTTGACCCACGTTTATTTATGGACTGCCTTGATGTGGACAATTGTATTGACTGTTTTAGCAGTCACTGTGTTCAGATTCTGGATCAGGTGGCACCCTTTAAATCAAACTTATCACTAAGGACCAAAACATGCCCTTGGATGAATGAAAACCTTTTGAGTCTGAAGAGACTATGTCGAAAAACAGAGCGTCTGTGGAAATCCACTGACCTGGAGGTGCACAGACTTTACCTTAGAGATCTTATGTCCTCATATAATCAGATGGTTGAAAATGCTAGATCTGACTATATTCACCAACTGGTGACGGTGAACAAGAGAACTCCCAAAGTGTTGTTTGACACAATAAATTCTCTGGTATGTCCTGCTGCTCCAGTTGCCCCTGTGTCGTGTGAAGCTGACTGCAATGCAATGTTGAGATTCTTCACTGACAAAATCAAGAGAATAAAAGAGAAAGTTCTTCCCCTTCCAAGTGGTCCGCCTGCTCTCACTGAGCCCGCCTCCAGCTTGTGGTCCTCTTTTAAGTCTGTGACGCTTGCTGATATTTCTGCAATGATGACCAAGATAAAACCTTCCTCTTGCTCATCTGTCGTCCTCCCGTGTAGGCTTTTTGTGAAAGTGTTTGATGTAATTGGCCCCTGGGTTACCCAAATGGTGAACCTCTCTCTTTCTACAGGGGTCTTTCCCAATGCTTTTAAACACACCATTGTGGAGCATTTACTAAAGAAGGCAGGGTTGGACCCGACTGACCTCAATAACTTCAGACCTATTTCGAAACTCCCCCTTTTGTCCAAGATCCTAGAGAAGGTGGTTTCTGAACAGTTGACATTATTCCTGGATCAAAATGGCTTCCATGAGACGTTTCAGTCTGGTTTCCGCAAACACCACTCTACGGAGACGGCCTTACTGAAAGTGTCCAGTGACCTCATGATGTCTGCTGACTCTGGAAAATGCACTGTTCTTGTTCTCTTGGATCTGTCCTCAGCTTTTGACACAGTTGACCACCAGATCTTGCTGAGAAGACTGAGGGATGAAGTAGGTCTGTCAGGGTCAGTCCTTCAGTGGTTCTCTTCCTACTTATCTGGGCGGAGCTTCAGTGTTAAAGCAAACCAAATCAGATCTGAGTCGGTAGATCTGTTGTGTGGAGTGCCTCAAGGCTCAGTCTTAGGCCCTGTGTTGTTTTTGTTGTATGTGCTCCCTTTGGGAAAGATTATTGAAAGTTGTTGTGATGTTTCTTATCGTATGTTTGCAGATGACATCCAGATTTATTGCACTTTTAAGCCAACTGAGCTCCATAGGCTCGATTCCTTAGTTTGTTGCCTAGTGGAAATCAAGCAGTGGCTAGGAAGAAGGAGCTATCACGTCTGCAGTTGGTGCAAAACTCTGCAGCTCGGGTTCTCACGCGCACAAACAGGAGGTTGCACATCACTCATGTCCTCAAAGGTCTCCACTGGCTGCCCGTGTCCTACAGGATACATTTTAAAACATTGGTGCTGACTTTCAGAGCTCTGCATGGTCAGGCTCCCCCTTATATCAGCGATCTGATTCAGCCTTACACCCCCACTCGTGCCCTGAGGTCTGTGGATCAGAATCTTTTGATGGTCCCACGCACGCGCTTTCGGACCAGGGGACACCGGTCCTTCCAGGCTGTTGCGCCTAAGCTCTGGAACAATCTTCCGCTCTCTCTGCGGCTGATGGAGTCGGTTGATTCATTCAAAGGTCAGCTAAAAACCTATTTATTTGGGCAAGCTTTTACATAATTTTCTTGCGGCTGTTTTAAACCTGTCACTGAGTTGTCTTGGCCATTATATTTACTGTATGTATATTTTCAATTTTTTTTTTTTTTTTATGCACATTTTAAATTGTATTTTGTCTGTTTTTACCTGTTTAAACTGTAAAGCGCTTTGTGGCCTTGGTCTGTGAAAGGCGCTGTATAAATAAAGCTTACTTACTTACTTACTTGCAGACACCAGAGATGGACCAGAGATGGACCAGAGCGAGACCAGAGAGAAACAAGAGAGAGAGAGAGACCAGTGATGGACCAGAGATTGACCAGAGCGAGACCAGAGAGAAACAAGAGAGAGAGAGACCAGTGATGGACCAGAGATTGACCAGAGCGAGACCAGAGAGAAACAAGAGAGAGAGAGACCAGTGATGGACCAGAGATGACCAGAGAGAAACAAGAGAGAGAGAGACCAGAGATGGACCAGAGATGACCAGAGAGAAACAAGAGAGAGAGAGACCAGAGATGGACCAGAGAGAATTGAGAGAGAGAGAGACCAGAGATGGACCAGAGAGAAACAAGAGAGAGAGAGACCAGTGATGGACCAGAGATGGACCAGAGAGAAACAAGAGAGAGAGAGACCAGAGATGGACCAGAGATGACCAGAGAGAAACAAGAGAGAGAGACCAGAGATGGACCAGAGATGGACCAGAGAGAATCGAGAGAGAGAGAGACCAGAGATGGACCAGAGAGAAACAAGAGAGAGAGAGACCAGAGATGGACCAGAGAGAAACAAGAGAGAGAGAGACCAGTGATGGACCAGAGATGGACCAGAGAGACCAGTGATGGACCAGAGATGGACCAGAGAGAGACCAGAGTTTTTTAATACTAGCAACCTCCCAAAATTACAAACTGGGGAATTCCTTGGTAACCATGGCTTCCAGCAGCACTCTGACCAATCACTGTCAGCTAGATTCCGTCTCCAACCTTCCGATACTGTCTGTGGAACGACTTCCCGGTTGGGCTTCATTGATCTAGTGGGTTAGCAATGTCTGTCCTGTCCAGTCTATGGAATGTGTCTATGTTTAAAAACACGCAGACAACACTCACGACCGTTACCTTCCAGAAAACTGAATCAAAATCTGCTCCGTGGAATTTATCAGGCATTCCTGCAGCCGACAGTTTAGGACCCAGTAATGTGACGAACTCTTCGAAGGCCACCTGTCCGTCACCTGGACACACACACACACACGCACACAGGCGCACACACACACACACACACACAAGAGAGAGTGCAGAGTGAGACCGAGGAGAGAATAGAGAGACCAGAGAGAGAGAGAGTAGAGAGAGAAACCATAGAGAGAGACCAGAGAGACAGAGTAGAGAGAGAGACCAGAGAGAGAGAGTAGAGACCAGAGAGAGAGAAGAGAGAGTAGAGCGAGAGATGAGTTGATAGGGAGACCAGAGAGAGAGAGTAGAGAGACCAGACAGAGAGACAGTAGAGACAGAGTAGAGAGAGTAGAGAGAGAGTAGAGAGAAGAGAGAGAGACATGACAGAGACAGTAGAGTAGAGAGAGACCAGAGAGAGAGAGTAGAGTAGAGAGAGACCAGAGAGAGAGAGAGAGAAGAGGATGGTGGTACCGTCCATGTCCAGTCTCTGGATGATGACCTCCAGCTCCACCTCGTTGGGCATGTATCCCAGAGACCTCATGGCGGTGCCCAGCTCCTGCTTCGAGATGAAGCCGTTTCCATCACGATCGAAGACTTTGAACGCTTCACGGATCTCTGCGGAACACGGACAACAGACACGGACCATTAACACAGACAATAAACACGGACAACAGACACGGACCATTAACACAGACAATAAACACGGACAACAGACACGGACCATTAACACGGACAATTAACACAGACAATAATCGCGGACACACAGACAAACGGTCAGTGACTTATATTTAATTTTATTTTTTAGATCTATTTCAAACCTGACCAGCCCATATAATTACATTTTGGAATATTACAGATGTGTGTGTGTATGAGTATGTGTGTAAATGTTTGCGTATCTCTCTGTGTGTGTGTGTGTGTGGGTCTGTGTGTGTGTGTATGTGTGTGTATATGTATGTATGTATGTATGTGTGAGATGTATGTGTGTGTGTGTGGGTTTGTGTGTATGTGTGTGTGTGTGTGGGTGTGTGTGTGTGTGTGGGTCTGTGTGCACTTGTTTTCAACTCCTGGTGGGTTCCATAACCTGAGATTCCACTCACGTCATGGGGACTGGTTTTACGTGGTGGGGCCCGAACACCGGACCCCACTGGTCCAAGCTTAATAATCAATGGGTAATGCTTTTCTAACGGTCCTTATGCAGTCTCTGTAAAAATATGGAAAGGACCCCTGGAGGTTTACTTTCCTGAAAAAAGTGTGTTATGTGTCGGAACCCTGGTGGTGGGTTGCGGGATATCAAGGAGGGGCACACTGGGGCAATTTCAGTCCAGCAGGCTGGAGCCAATCATGGAGCAGCACAACAGAGGAAATCAGGTGTCAGGCTAGAAAAAGGTGCAAAGTGTGTGGTTCATTAGGCTGCAAGAAATCATGGAGGAGCACACTGAAGCGCACGCTTACAAACCACTGGTAAGTGCTGACTACAAGTCATGACTTCAAATTGTTATATAGAATGATTACAAATTATTTGTTGTTTGTGCAGCTTAGTCAAGAGTCCCTAATTGATGAAGTCGACTCAGATTCTGACGATTTAACTGTCAAGAAGAAACCTGTAAAAAAGTATGGAAAAAGAAAAATCAAAAACACTTTTCTTCAAGACTCGGAAAGTGACGAACCAAAGGCAAATAAGATTGTTATCATGCAGCTGCAAAAGAAGAAAAATGGGGGGCGAGTATACAGCAAGAGACACTTCTGCCTCTACTGTTCAATGTCCTGCCACAAAATGTCCCGTCATTTGACTAGAAAACATGGAAATGGAAAGTGACGTAGCCAGAGCATTGGCTCTACCTGTGAAATCTAAAGCACGTAAACTTCAGTTTGATTTGATCAGGAATAGTGGAAACCGTGAGCACAATTTTGAGGTTTTAAAGGCCGGCATTGGAACTTTAGTCCCAGCTAAACAGCCAAATTCCCCAGTTAAATCCAGTGAGTTTTTGCACTGTATAGACTGTGGGGCATTGCTTAAGCGAAAGTCGCTGTGGAGGCATGTGGCCAGGTGCCGGCTTTCACAGAAAGATGCCCAGGCTAAACCAGGTAGAAGTAGGGTCCAGTCCCTCTGCTCCCTAGCCCAGCCTGTACCGGAGGGCATCAGCAAAAAGCTGTGGTCTTTAATTTCGGCAATGCATCAGGATGAGGTCACGGGTGTTGTCAAAGCAGAAAAGGGGATTCTGAGACTCGGAGAGCACCTGTACTTAAAACACGGGCATGATAAGACAAAGCATGATTACATTAGGCAGAAAATGAGAGAAAGTCGGTAGGTTAATTAACGAAGCAAAAACCGCAGGGAAACTGAAAACAATTAAGGATTTCTTTATTCCTTCCAACTTTAACCATGTGATTGATGCAGTCAGGTCTGTGGCTGGATATGATGAGGAAACAAATCAATACAAGACTCCATCCTTGGCCCTCAAACTCGGCCATAGCCTCAGAAAGCTAGCAGATATTCTTGAATGTGACTCAAAAATGGAGCATTGTGTTGATGAACTATTTATTAAAAACCTCCAACGAAGCCGGCTGCTTTTTGAGAAGAGGTGGGACGTCTGTGTTTCTTCTGCTGCCCTACAGACCCTCCGGCAAGCCAAGTGGAACACTCCGGACCTGCTCCCTCTGACTGAGGACGTTAGAGCCATGCATGCACATATTGAGGTATGTCGACCTGAATATGTGCAAACCCTAATAAGTGAGCCAACGTCTAAGCATTGGTCTAAACTGGCAGTTTTGACTCTTTGTGAGGTCATCATTTTCAATCGAAGAAGGGAAGGTGAGGTTTCAAAGATGCCACTGACAGCCTTTACCTTAAGAAGTAAGACTGGGATCCATTCTGACATTGCTCTGGGACTGTCCCAACTTGAGAAAAAGCTGTGTCAGCATTTTCAACGCATTGAAATTAAAGGGAAAAGAAGTCGGAAAGTGCCGGTTCTTTTGACTCCTGAAATGATTGCTTCGATGGAGGTGCTGGTGGAGAACAGAAGGGCCTGTTCCATCTCTGACCATAACCCATACTTCTTTTCCCGCCCGGGCGCAGACACCCACATCAGGGGATCAGACTCCCTACGCCAGGTAGCCAAAGAATGTGGTGCGGTGCATCCAGAGATGCTATCCTCAACCAAACTTAGAAAGCACATAGCTACTATGTCTACAGTTCTCAATATGAAAGAGAATGAGATGGACATACTTGCCAACTTCCTCGGCCATGACATTCGCATCCACAGGCAATATTACAGACTACCAGAGGGGACACTGGAGCTGGCCAAAATCAGCAAAGTGTTGATGGCCATGGAGCAGGGAAGAGTGACGGAATTCGAAGGAAAGAGCCTCGACCAGATACAAATTGAGCCTGAAGGTAATTCTTGATATTATTAAAATATGTATGATTTTTTTCCCCTAAAGGCCACTTGTATTTTTATTTTCTGTGCGACAGGGAGAGCAGTAGAGATCCTCTCACAAACGGACGGGCTAAAAGAAACTTCAAGCGGAGAACCTTCAACCATTCATCCAGATGCACCCCATGGTAGTGGCAGTGCCCCTTCTGGTAAGTGTACCAGGTGGGGGATTACAGCCAGGCTGCTTGGTCCTCACCCTGGGAGTGTATATTGCTAATATATTTTTATTTCTCTCCCTAGAACGTGTAAGAAAGCCATGGTCTGCATCTGAGGTGAAGGCTGTGGAGAAGACCATGACACCTTTCATACAGACTGGAAAGGTCCCTGGGAAGTCTCACTGCCTGGCCTGCATTAATGCCTCACCAGATGACCTTAGACATCGGACATGGAGTGGCATTAAATTCTATGTCAAAAATAGAATCACTGCAATTCGAAAACAAAATCTAAAATAAAATTCCTTTAAAATAGTTGTTTGGTTTCTATTGACTGTTTTGTATTACTTAAAGTCTTGGTAAAAAAAGATTATGTCTATGGGTCCCATTCTGAACGGCCCTGTCAAAGGGACCCACCAGGTAACAAAAACGTGTATGTGTGTGTATGTGTGTGTGTGTGTGTGTGTGTGTGGGTTTGTGTGTATGTGTGTGTGTGTGTGGGTGTGTGTGTGTGCGTGGGTCTGTGTGTGTGTGTGTGGGGGTCTGTGTGTATGTGTGTGTGTATGTGTGTGTATGTGTGTGTGTGTGCGTGGGTCTGTGTGTGTATGTGTGTGTGTGTGTGTGTATATGTATGTATGTGTGAGATGTATGTGTGTGTGTGTATGTGTGTGTGTGTGCGTGGGTCTGTGTGTGCATGTGTGTGTGTGTGTATATGTATGTATGTATGTATGTGTGAGGTGTGTGTGGCTTTGATGTTCGACTGCTCTTTTAACGACTTCAAACAGAATCCTGATCCTGCTGCGGCTCATTAGAGAAAGACAAGATGTTCAAGACCAGGACCTCCAGGAGAGCCCTGGACCCCTCTACTCTACTCTACTCTACCCTACCCTACCTTCTCCTCCCCTCCCCTCCCCTCTCCTACCCTACCCTACTCTAGGGTAGGGTATTACCTTGGACCCGAGTCTTCAGACCGACCTTGGACTCGAGTCTTCAGACCGACCTTGGACCCGAGTCTTCAGACCGACCTTGGACCCGAGTCTTCAGACCGACCTTGGACTCAAGTCTTCAGACCGACCTTGGACTCAAGTCCTCAGACCGACCTTGGACTCGGTCTGAAGACGTGAGCAGACCTGAGCAGGTGCAGGAGGTGGAGAACCTTCATGTTTAATGAAGGAGCAGAGTCTGTAGTGACTGTGGCCATGTTCAAATCAGGATAAAAACACTTCTGTCTCTTTTTACTGTTCTGGGATTATTCTGGATGTTTTTCTTGTTTTTGTTCAGCATTTTGAGTTTCTGATGAACTGTGTTATACAAATAAACTGGCCTTCCATTCTCGCATCAAGGCTATAAACTCTCATCTCTCTCATGTCTTCTCTCTCCTTGCTCTGTCCTCTCTCTCCTCCCTTCTCTTCCCTCTCTCCTCTCCTCTCCTCTTTTCAATCTCTCCTCTCTCTCATCCCTCTCCTTGCTCTCTTCTCTCTCTCTCCTCTCCTCTTCTCTCTCTCATCTCTCTCCTTGCTCTCTTCTCTCTCTCTCCTCTCCTCTCCTCTCTCTCTTTGCTCTTTCCTCTCTCTCCCTGCTCTTCTCTCTCTCCTCCCCTCCCTCTCCGCGCTCTTTCCTCTCTCTCTCCTCTGTTTTTTGTTTTAATTGCTGATAAAGTTGTGATAGAATGATGGACAATGCCACGTTGTTAAACTACAACTTTAATCCTCAAAATCTTTCAAGTCATTTTATAAAATCTAAACTGTGTCTGTTCTGTTGTAATTCCACATCCATCCTCTGGGGGGAGCAGCACACAGCTTTATGAGAATCCACAACAACAGGCAAACTATAAATGTAAATAAAAACAGACAAAAGACCCAAATTTGTCTGAATAAAAAGTGTCTCATACATTAAGGCTCTGCGACACAAACAATTGTATAAAACAAAAATCTAATAAAATATATATAAAAAAATTGTAATATATTACTTTGTGTCTATCACTAGTTCTTACAGTGTGGGCGGGTCACGGCTTCAAAAAGTACAAACTGTAATCTCACTCTGGGACGGTGGGGGTGTAC